TCTGGAGCTCTGAAGCCTGACCACTCAAAAGTGTGGTTTGCCCAAGCCGAGTACGAGGTGAACTACTTTGGCAACTGACGCTAAACCATCCTCCAGAAGGGGATATTGATCATAGATCTATGTGATATAGAGTACCAAAGCTGTGACGTCATAAAAATCTATTTTTAGAATTTCTCAATTTTTTCTTCATTTTACGAAAGAGCAAAAATAATGTCCAAATGTCAAAAACCAATTTAATATGTTAGGTATTGGCTGAGATATGACCATCTGAATAAATATATGTTCCATAGGAACACAGTGTTATATGCTCTGGCTCCTAACCAAATTGAGAAATTCTAAAAATAGATTTTTAATGACGTCACACTTCACCACACTATTGATAACATTAGCTTTCGGACTCAGTCCAATGTAAGCCCCCTTTAGCAGTGAACATGAAAGGCGTATCATAGACCAACATATTGCTAAGGAAAATCTGCTGCATTAATTCTCTTTACCAACTTAAAAGTTTTACTTCTGAGTTACATAAAATCATTCATCAAATTGTATATGTTTGATGAGTCTCATTAAACTCATTTTCTTGCTTATTACTTCATCTTGGCAAATATGATAACTACAGTTACTGTGACGTCATGAAAATAAAGAGTCTCCCTTAATTAAGTTCAAGTTTGTTTCTGAATACATAACTTTCACATAATGTTCCTTTGCAAATAAAAATGAAATAAAAAGGTTCAACTCATAAATATGCATGATCAACATGCTTTTACTGCTAACTCTAGAAAATCATTAATACACTTTACAACAAATTTTCTCTCTCACTCACTTTGGGCCAAATTATCCTACATGTAATATTATGCCCAGTACAATTGAACCTCCCTGTGCCCACATCTGTACATACACAAATACAGTAGGCTATTACGCTACATATTTTCTTATATTGTTCTTTTTTCTCTATCTCTCTTTCTCTTATGTAATGCCAGCATTGTTACCATCAAAACAAATGTTTACAAACAAATTGCCATGTGATCAACACATATCGACAGATATATCTTAGGTAAAATATTTCTTTTTTGTACTGTTCTGTATCAGATTTAAAAGAGAATACATAAGAAATGAATAAATAAATAAGTACATCCTTCTCTGATCATCCTTCAAAATTAAATTCACATTCTCTTGTAAACAGGTCAAACTAAATCATTTTCTTGATTTTGTAAAACCACTTCCATCACATCAGTTCTCTCAAATTTCTTTGTTAAGCTTAGTAATATTAGTACCAGTCTATATATCATGTACATCATCCCTTTAAGATACAATGTATATTTCCACTTTTCAATTCGTTGAGAAAATAAATGCAAGCCTTGTCCATCCCTCATCATTTTTTTTTCTATCTTGAAAACTCTTGTCTCTCTAGGAAAGCTGCTTCAATCCATTTATAGATACAATGTTATTCCTTTATGATATAGAACACCATACAATCACCTGTGCATCTAAGATTTTGATATATGTGTAAATTGTGCTGAATTTCTGTGTAATGTGAATATTTTCTATCTTTGTACAAATTGACAAGTCCCTATTTATAACCATGCTCCAGGAATTTTGCAAGAAAACACATTAGTTTAGCAATCTTCCTGCAAGAAGAGAGTGTCCAGCCTTTAAAGCTAGAGTGTTCAACATGTTGATCCTAAACACCTACACTTGCTGGTATCAATTCTATTCAAAAATACATGAAGGCTTTCGTTGTTGTTGCTAGAAAACCCTTCACACCGTCATAAATTCTAAGGTGAATATGGTCAATGTATTTTAAAGAGGGTGCATTCCTTTTGAGCAACCAAGTTTCTTTGAATTAGATTTTCTTACCTGTACCATAATTTATATGTTACTGCCTGGCTGAAATAATTCATAATTGAAATATATCTCCTAAAACATTCATTTTGTTTAAATTACCTTTTCATTAAAATAAAAAAGGGAATCCTATACTTCTTAGAAGTGGGCTCCACAGAAATGATTATGCAAAAAGGGGTTCATAAGAATTTATTACAAATATTGAGCTAAAAGGTTGAGCTAAAATTGAGCTAAAAGTGGGAGAAACTGTCATATCTTTGACTTCAATCTGACACACACTAACCAACACAGTATGGACAGCAAAATGTTGTCTCTCAACCGTACAAATGTCAGGGATGGGAACAACAGAGAAAAGATCCACTTAGTTTGAAAGTTAAATTTATCTATCACCAAAGAGGTACATATACCCGCAGTTATGTTGAAGAATCCTGTGTCATAGATGTCCATAGAAGGTGATGATGATTTTAAATAAACATGGTGAGAAGAAGGAATAAGAAGAGAATAATGTTCATTTACTAACACGACTAAAGAAAAAGAAGCAGACCTGTGTGAAGAAAGAAAGTAAGAAACCTTAAGGCTTTTTCAGATATGGCGTAGTATTAAGCGCCGCAAAAACAACAACACAGTCTTTATACATGTGAATGAATGGCACTGTGCGCAACAAAGGACAAGCTGAGACCTGTGTTAAAAGATACAGAAACGCTGCGGTTTTGCCTCGTCATATCATATCTGAACAAGCCTTAAGGCTGTGGAGATTCACATTTGCACATGTTGCTATACTAGCCTACCTAGATTCAATGGATCGAATGAGCTAAGGGGGTCAGAGGTGAAAGGTCAGAAAAGGGGTACAATGTAGAAATAAATACTTCTGTAAAATCTGTAGGAGCTACACAAGATGAAAAATACGGCTAAGTTACGAAAATCCTCTATTTTTACCTAAATCTTTTATCTCTTCCACATCACAAGATCTCTAAATTTCACTGCCTTTTTCAAAATAAAACAAAAAGGGAAAAAGAACAAGGAAAATTGTATCTTCAGGAAATGAATATATGAGATGATGAAATTCTACTTCTCTATGAATGTGTCCATACCACTTCTTATGACCCGAAATTTCAAGGTTTTATTTTAATCATGCTTTGATACAATCCATTATGACGTAAAGTCTCTCAGAATATCTCATATCATGCAGGATGGAATCACCAAGACCTCAAATCGCTGTTCATACAGGGTGCTGTATCTCAGTTTGCAAAGAGGCTTGGCATGAGAATTTGCACTGTATGAAGAGCAAAATGTGATTCCCAGCAGAAGATTAAAAACGTTGTATGGACACACTCTCCGACTTATTAGCTGCCCAGTGGAGTGTATTTTGTCAATTATTTTTGCTAATTTTTTCCTCTCGCTACCAGAGAAATCTTTTGCAAAACAAAGTTAGTTGTCAAATGTTTTAAAAACAACTGTTAAATAATATTTGGATATTTGTTGGTTTGGGTTAATGATCTTGAAAAGAGGCCCATACTTGTTAGATTTTCATACTTTCTGTATAAGAAAACATTTGAATAAAACGTAGCCTGAAAGTTAATCTGGGCCAGACGATTTTAATGTTAGGCAAAATCCTAAAAAGAGAGGTAGTAAAATGACAACTTGATTAATTTCATTCCTAATTTAGATATCCCTAGGTAATCCTCTGCAAGGGTCAATGTAAAAAAAAGTTTTTAATGTGTTCAAAAGGTATATTTAATACATACATTAAACTTTACCTTTCAAACAGGATTTAACTTATAAAACTTGACGGAATTATATAAATTTACCCACTTAAAAAAGATCATTTTGGTTTTGCAACTGAAGCAAGCAAGCATTGTGTACAGCTTTCGTCTTAGTATGAATGAAGAAAGATTTCAGTTTTCATAATGAAATGCTTGAAGTAAGTACTTTCAAAAACTTTTCTTTAAGTCAAGTTATTTGGGAATGAGATGAATGAAATTAGTTTGTTTTGCAAAAGATTTCAACAAACATCTTACCAGCAACATCTGAAGTATCACTTCTATACAAGCACGTACAACTAACATTCAAACAACAAACCCGGTGGTATCACTTCATATTGACCTCTGTCTACGCTTAACACAGGGTTCGCTCAGCTGCAAAAAAAGTGTTTTTTAATGAATGGCGACTGGGCGCAAACAACAAAGGTCCTGCATGTATTCACCAAGCTCTGTCTTATCAGATACAGAAATGTGACGCATACTATCCATTATATCGTCCTAAAAAAGGCACATCAAAAAGTTAAATTTGGATTTGAAAAGAAGGGTATTTTCTTTGGTTTTGGATATAGATAAGGGATATACTTTATAAAAGAACAAGAAATGCCACAAAAAGGGTCATATTTCACGATATTTCCTGAAATATGAATGTAGAAGTCCACAGTTTTGTGAAAATAACAATGTGTACTCAAATACGGTTTAAACAACATGTTTTTTAAAGCCTATTTTGTAACTGTTTTCACGTAAAATGTAGGCCCTTAAGGGGAGAGATTATTGAAAGTATGCAAAATAAGGGATAATGTTTTACTCCGCTAATGACCATGTGCTACACATGTGCATAATTATGAAGAAACACCACCAGATCAACAAATCCACCCATTACCATTCATCCAGTCCAGCATACGTCTACTTTGATAATAACAATAACAAGAATAATACATCATTTGCCTCTAAGCTACATGTACACAGTGAAACTTGTATTTGATAGCCGCCACCTCTACCAGTCTACTGTGGCCAGTTTTCATGTTTCACTTGGGTGGCATAATAGACAGGTTTGACTGTGTATCTATTGCATCCCTAACTCTCTTTCACCCTATCTTTTTCTCTCTCCCTCTTTCTCTATTAAACTATATTCCATTCCCTCCACAAACATATGCACTCAATATGCCATTTTCGTAATGGAACCAAATTTAATGCATACTTTCTTTTTGAAGTGCTTCAACATTAATGATTGATTTCACCAGTCATAAATATTTTTATTTCAATAGTCAGTGTGCAAATTCTACATATTACCTGCTGATAGGTAGGGTAAGCCATACCTATCAAAAATCAGTGTTTATAATTCACATTCTGACTACAGACATACAGTTATTCATAACAGGTGAAAAAATTCATTCGAGGTACTTCACAAAGAGGCATGCATTACTTTAGGTTATATAACCAAAATGCCATTTCTAATCACCCATTCCACGGATAGCTGCATGAATTGTATTACCAAAGGCAAAGATACATAATCATTCATTCAACGACCTGGTCAGCAATGTAGTACATGAATTTGTCTTTCGGCACAGGTTTATAGTGCATATTCCCCCCCAAATGATTACCATTCCCTTCATCAGGGCTTAGCTAGCATGTTCAGATATGCCATGGTAAACTGCCGCAAAAAAAACCTGTCACACTTTTTAAACATGTAAATGAATGGTGACTACGCGCAATAAAGTCCTGTGCATTTTCACATCGGATGAATGTAACCATTTTATATTTGCCATGTAGGTTGAAATTCTAGAAATGTAAAAACATATTTCACTGCAGTCAAATCCTATCTTTTGATCTTTAGTCCATTGCAATACCACCCCCACCCTCATGCAATGCATACCCTTTTCAATGAAAATTTGGCCATGGCATTTTTATTTTTAATCAAATATCCCCCATGTTTGTTATTAACACAATTGGTGTTTTGCACTAGTAAGACAATTTTTCTAATGCTCTGATTTTCTTTATTCTAACACAATTGAGGTAGACAATGGCTGTTAGATAATTAAAAAAAGATAGAAAAAAGAGGAAAAGATGACAGTTAAGAAAAATAAAAAATAAAGAAAAAAACACAGGATCAGGCATATGAATCACAATTATAAGAAGAGAACATACCACAACGCCTAATTGGATATTCTAAAGTCTAATGTGCTACATCAGTGTCTGAAAAGATTGAGTGTTGGTATGTTTTAATGCAAGAATTGCTTTAAATACAGATATACTGAAGCTTCTAGTCCTCAGAGTAAGACTCATGACGGAACAGAAAGACAGCTTGAACAATGAAATATTTCATCCAACTATTGAGAGGATGGCTGGCACAAGACACAGGACACATAACAGCTTTTCATAAAATATCAGTTTCTGTGGAGCCCACGTTTCTAAGTTGGTTAATTTTAATCAATGTGCGACCCCCCCCCCCCCCCCTCCTCCAAACCAAAATGCTGTACCGGTAGTACCAATAACAAACTTGTGCAGAAATACCACTGTCTCCATTCCCCTCTCCCATCTTCCACCCCCCCCCCCCCCCCCAAAAAAAAAGAGAAGAACAAATACAAAAGGTGGTTCAGTTTTGGTAGGTTCGTCTTCAACTCAAGAGTCCCTGAATACCCATATCATTCTTTACCTGTGAACTGAAGCACCAAAACAAAAGACAACTTAAAAAATAAATTCTATATAATCATAGGATATGAGACCAGCTCAAAGATAAACCTGGACTTTAAAAAAATAAGATTAAAAGAAATACTGTCTGCAATAAGGCAGTAGCAACCTTTAGTGCAGGAATCTGACATGGTCGTTGTGTCAAAACTTTAATGACAATTATGCACCGGTGCATTGAGTGATTAGCACGACATCTGCACTATCGAGGTATAAAATAAAATGTGATAGAGGTATGTTTAAAATTCAAATACCTTTGTGAACTGATCTATTCAAGTAACTTACATTAGCAAGCAAACAGATCCTACAGACATCTTATTTTTAATGAGTTTTTGCTTTCATATACAATTTCAAGATATGTATTTTTCTCTACATGAATGATAGAAGGATGATATTGCATGCCAAAACAAAGCTATAACATCCAATGGTATGTACTTGTAGAAGCAGTACCACCATTACTTTCTTTAGACTCTTAACATGTTTTAGAGACTTACAGAGTCAGAGAGAGAGAGAGAGATGATCAAAAACTGTTTGTAAAAACACAAAAATGAGAGACATTTCAAATAACGTTATAACCAGATAATCTATTGTTGAACTCACACGTACGTCTACAGAGAGCTGTGTTTTTAGTAATACAAAATGTAAGGAATTTTCAGCAAGGTCTCATTATTTGATGAGATTTTGTTCGTTAGGAATCCTTTCCCACTGCAAGACACACAAATCAGAATGAATAATAGACCATTTCTTTTGAAACTTAGCTTCATAAGCAGAACTCAAGATCACAAGCAAACGAAAGAAATGAAGGAACAATGTACTTTGAGTGAGGGACATACAGACTTGACAAAGTTATAAAGACTTTAAAGAGTTTAGTTCACTACACCAGGCATTGAGGCTGTTGCACATCAACAAGACAATTTCAAGGTAACTTAGTAGATAATAATCTTTTTTTCAATCACAAATAATCTGATAATAATTATACACTTTCATTTATATTTCTTCGTTTTTACACCAACATTTTTGAAGAAGTATTGCATTCTTCTAATATCTGTTTTAATAAATAAATATCTTTATCTTCATTATAATTACAATGTACAACCTATTTTCAATTTCTTGTCTATAATACAGATTATAAGTATTTCATATATATCATATCTCATGAATATTCATTGATAGACACCAATTATTTGCACTATGAATTCTGATTGGTCAGGAGGTGACACTGGGGGAGGGGCTTATCTATCCACCTCATGAATAATCATCCAATAGAATGACCAATGCATTAGGAATACAAAAGGATTACATCGTGATAAGAATAAGTAATAACCGTCAGGAATTCTACAAAACTTTTAAATCCGAGCAGAAGTATAATAAACTATCTATTTAGATCGTTTGTAATAACATTTTAATGATATGCATAAACAAATTGATGCACCTGAACATACATGTACTCATAATATTGTTTTCAAAATAAAGGCTGCATATCTGTTCCCACAGCTTCAGCAATAAAACAAAACCATGTACCGCATATGAATGAACAATGACTGAACCCTCTTCCTTCACTTAATACCCTTTAAATGTAAAGTCAAAAAATTATGCCTCATGGGTGATTTCTTGAAAATGGTCATCTGCAAGCTTGTATTTTTATTTCTTTCTTGTTCATTTTTTCATCATATAAATCCTTCTTAACAGACCTAATCCTTCTTAATATTTTTTTCTTTCTCAAAAAATATATCTATTAAACCCCTGAAGACAGGGCTCATTTGCAATTTCTATGTGTTTATAATTATAATGGATATGATCAAAGATTACATGTGTAAGCCCATACTATTGGGTTCATGAGTATTATGTACATATGTTTATAATCATAAAACAAGCTTTAATGTGTTCAAAAATATCAATGAAACCAATTTATATTCTATGGGGCTAATCCATGTCTACAATGCTGTTAATATACCAGTCTGACCTCTAACTCAATTCATGAAACTTATTCCATGATTTCTTTGACACAAATCTGTTATATTAATGTGCCTTAAGAACACAGTAATGTTTCAACACAATAGGTAATTTTACTTAAAGAGAAGGATAAAAAACACTTGAATTATGCCATGTGAATTAAGTATTTCTTCAGAATGAATTTCTCATTACCTTATCATTTCAAATCAGTTCAATGTACAAGTTATTTGCTTCCCAATTTTCACTTTGATTTCATCTTTCTTGGCAATTTATAAAATGCAGAGAAAAGTGGCAATGCTTGAAACATAAATATCATCGCTCAAAGTAATCTTCAAACAGAAAAAATTGAAGCATATTCCTGCTTTCATAACATAGTGTAGTTTAGAAAATTGAATGCTTGCAGAGTTTTGAAAGCAATGCCTTATTTTAGAGTGCTTTAGCTATGTGATGCATAACTCTAGACCTAAATGACATGTATGTTTACAAAACTTGTTGTATTGAAAAGAAAGTATTTAATATTTACTACCCATCACCATCATTTAAATGTACAAACACTTTTTCATTCATCTTGACGAGAGACCAAGTAAAATAACGTAGATTCAACTTTGTTAACCCCATTTTACTCATCCAATCAATTTCTGAAGATCGTGTTAAACACTCTGATATCAAGTGTGCTAGGTGTACACGAATAACACCAAATAACACAAGGTGCTTAACAGAGCCATCTCTCAAACATATTCCTCCATGTCACTATCATGGTGTGAGATATTTGACACTTATGGTGTTTACCAATGCTTCATCACTGACCATTCAACACCTTGTCATAAAATTAAACACAGATTTCATGTTTCTACACCAAACCTGATCAAATTGTGACACTTTGGTTTAGGTCCCTGACTCACTGCAGATCGTCAAAAAGCTCCTCTCGATACTCAGTCATCGAGGTGTTTGGTGTTGCTGTCCTGGAGGCTTGGTGTCAAAGTAAGCACCTGAACTTAAGCACCAGACTTAACCACTGGCCTCTGATTCATCTTCAAATTATCAAATTCAAATTGAGTACTCAGTGTTCCCCTTCAAAGGTGTCATTTGTGTCATACTGCGGTTTCATGGTTTTCTTTCAATCGCTGATGCTGTTCATGACCTGTAAAAAGAGAAAAGAGAAAGAGAAAGAACAAGAATATTGTTAATTCATATTTTTTAAATGACTTTGTGAAACATTGATTTGTAAATTCCCTTGTGGAACCCAGATCCTGATGAAATCCCAAATATTGAACAACTGTAAGATCCTGTGATAGATAATGCCTGGTCAGTTCCTACACCAGTCAAATTCCCACCTTCCCTCTTAGAACCACCGTTTATTTACATATACATCTCCCAGTAAATGAACCACTAACCTTAAAACCCAACCTGAACCCTGATTTCAACCCTAATCCTAGCCCTAACCCTACATCTTTAACCCTAATAATAATAAATAATTATAGGAGTTTCTACAGTGCCGTCTATCTAGAAATTCTATTCTAAGGCGCATTGATTATTACCCCGGTGTTAGCTTAGCTGTCATTACATCTCTCTAGCATTTCAAGGAACTAATTCCTTCCAGGTACCCATTTACCTCACCTGGGTCGAGTGTGGCATATTAAGATTAATGCCTTGCCAAACGACATTAGTGCCGTATCGGGGATCGAACCACGCCTTTTGAATTGCAAGTTAAGTGCTTAAACCACTCAACCATGACACTTCTAACCCTAAACTTATATCTTTAACTGAAATCATTCAGAGAAATGGCAATGTCACACCACAAGTAAAAGTCAGGAAACAATGTATACTGCTAATTTAAAATAGTGACTAAAAATCAAGGCAAGGTCTCTGCCTCTAGCCCAAGATATTATCCCTAGTTAATCTAAAAATGAAGTCATATGGAGTCTCCAGATTAGTACACAGATATTGCAAAAGATTCAATCAGTGTCTCGGTACCTTATTCATTATGTTTACAATCCTTAGCTTGAGAAATAAGAACAAATAATCGCAATTTGAGATATTAGCTCAATATAAGTCATCAGTCTCTGACTTGAGATATTAAACTTAATGCAAGTGAAATTCACAAACTCAGTAGGGGAAAGAAATGTTTCTTTGTATTGATAAGGTGTCAATCTCATCCAATCTAATCCAAAACCTTGCGGTTACAAAGCGCTGAGGCTTGCAAAATAAAGTCAACGTACATTGTAATGTTAAAGTAACTAAATCAAAGTAATATAAGGTCTAACATACTGACATTGAAATGAACTCATAGAAAGATAATAACTCAAGAATATTTGCTCAAAGCAAGCATAATAAGCTTGGATTTTGAGGCTGGGAAATAATGAATTGTAAGATAATATTGAAGTCTATAGATTGAAACTTTACTGTTGCTTGTGTTACTCACTGAAAGTGATGTTCTAAGCTTGAAATCTTAATGATCATTGAAAGAGAAGATCCAAGAACGAGGCTCGTGTCCATCAGGTTATTAAGTGAATGTACAATAAGGTCTAAGTATGTGGCTTGGGCTATAAACTCAACCACTGTGGCTGCAGTTACATATATGAACTCGTTCTAAGAAAACATTACATTTTGGCTTTAGATATAAACTCACGGTTATAAGGCTGGAGTCAACAACTGAGTGTACCTTAAGAGTTCAGTCTGAGGCAGTAGGGTTAAAATTGGTATTGTCAATGCATAAGTGTTAGATATTTGGCTTGAACGGACCTTGTGGCAGATTAGTCTTGTGCTAAACAAGTTATCCAATAAATTGCTAAACATGTTTAATATCCTAGTGCCTCCAATGGACCTCGGGAAGAATAGTCTTGTGCTAAACAAGTTATCCAATAAAGTGCTTAACATGTTTAATATCCTAGTGCCTCGAATAGACCTCGGGCAGATTAGTCTTGTGCTAAACAAGTTATCCAATAAAGTGCTGAATAGGTTATCTTTTTGTCTTAAATGGACCCTCGTTCCAGATTAATTTTTGCTAAACAAGTTATCCAATAAAGTGCAAAACCGGTTATCTTTTTGTCTTGAATGGACCTTGTGGCATATCAGTCTTATGCTAAACAAGTTATCCATCAAAGTGAAAAACAGCTTATCCTAGTGTCTCAAATGGACATGGTAGCAGATTAGTCTTGTGCTAAACTGGTTTTCTAATAAAGTGCTGAATAGGTTATCCTACTACTACTTTAGATATATTTGGTTCTCCTCCTATTTAAAAAGAACAGCAACCTATAGTGTGTATAGGTGTTGTGGTCTAGTGGATAAGTCACCCGACTACAGATAAAAAGGTATGGGGTTCAAATCCCAGTCCAGCACTAATGTCCTTTAGGAAGACTTAATCTACATTTGCCACTCTCCAACCAGGTGTAAAAATTGGTAGGATAGGATAGGATAGAATAGAACGGGTAGGATGTGAAAGTTAATGTAGTTTGCTCAGCATTGTGAGCGTCTGTAAAATGATACCAGGAATGCTCCCCAGTGAGTGGAGAATGTGTACACATTGTGAGCGGGCAAGTCTGAATCCAATAACAGGGTTAATAATATATCTGAAAAGCGCTTAAAGACATCATCAATGTATTAAGCACTATATAAAAGCGGAATATTATTATAGTGCAGTCATAGGGTGAACAGTCTATGTTGTAAAAGCGTAAGAGTTTGTTCTACACAAGTCTGGAAAATTAGAGGCATTAGAAAGAGAAATATGCTGTTTTTACTCTCCTAGGGAACAACCCCTAACAACAAAGGATGTGAGGGCAGAATATTAGGGGTGCACCGATATGAAACATGAGCCTTGTGTCTGAACGAGGCTCAATCATTGCTGATAATTTTAACCTATTGCTCTAAGAAGCAAGGACATAATAAGCAGGTACTCACACATTGAAATTGAAGCTACACACCAAGCTCTGTATATAGCAGGAAATAAGCATAGTGTACAAAGTAGATTGGCAAAATGATTGAGCACATGACAAAACATCTGGCCAATAAACACTTCCGTTTCACCCATCTGGGATGTAGTTAAATGGGGCGGATATGGCTAAAGTAACATAACACAAGTAACCCTAACCCTAACCCTACCCTAAGCCTAAACCTAAGCCTAAACCTAAGCCCTAACCTAAGAGTAACCCTAATCGTGATTGAGCCCTTGATACCATAATACGTTGGACAAGTGGTCGAGAGGTATTCTGCCGTTAAGTTGACAAATGGAGTTCACAGATATGTTACTTAGTTATAGATACAGTATAAATGAATAAAGTACAGTCAAACCTTGCCTACAACCTGATGATAATCATAGAATAACATGGTACAAAGCAACATGGAAGCATTAATCATAAACATACAAACACCATTGAATAACAATAAACAGAGTTGTACTGAATGTAAATATATTGAGATAAATTGACACAAAGATGCAGGACGCCGATGGGAAAATGAGGAAACAACAAATGACAGATTTGAAGTAATATGGACCCTTAAAATGGGCCAGTGAGTGTGCACAGAGGGAGAGAAGACAAACAAAGCATTCATGAAGAATACTACTGAAACAATCATGCAAATACAATAGTGAAGTCCAAATCTTTAGAGGGATATGCACGAGTACAGTATATACAGATAAACATGAGTATAATGATTACATTCATGGATAAAAAGGAAATGGAGCTCTCAGATAGCCTTCAGTAAAATAGGAAACACATTGACAGAGCAAGCAGTGTAACACTATGAATATGATGGACAAAGAAAGAAGACAAAATATACAGTTCCTCAGGTAGACAAAAGAACATCCATTCACTGCTATTATGCAAAAACTAGTAAAACAGGTGAATATGCATGTGACAACTGTTCTACACATTTTTACATACAGTAATAGCAGTGAAGGGATGTTCCTTTGTCTACCTGAGGAACTGTATATTTTGTCCTCTTTCTTTGTCCGTCATGTTCATCGTGTAAGCTGCATCAAAAAGGACCCAGTCCCACATTGAGCTGTAGTGAACATTGATCAGAAAAATAACATACACGCTCTACAGAGAACATCACAAAGAAAATTTAAAAAAAAATTTAAACTCCACAATTTTGGTGAATTTGACTTCTGAAATAATCTATGAATTTTAAAACGAAATCACAGCAGGACACTCCTGAAGCCTGACAACGGAAGAAGATTCCATTCTTGTAACATCTTCAAACTAAAATTGGTAATTTCCCTTTTTTATTTCTCTATTTTCTTGATGATTGTTGGGAGACAGGTGACAGAAAACAGCTTCAGCTAATTTCATGACCTTGCAAAGTTACTCATGCAGGTAGAGTCACTTTTAGTTATATTTTCACATAATCTTTTGATATAGAATGCTGTGTACTACACATACATGTAGTACAATGTGTAAGAAGTAATCAAACAAAATCACTGACAATTTTGAATCAATTTTGTTGCAGTACATTACATTATTCATGAATAGATTTTTTTTTAAATGAAACTTTAATGAGATGCAATTTCACTACAAGTACTCAGGTTAACTCAAGGTTAACTTGAATGAATAGGTCCTGGGACCTGGGGAAGGGTGTGGGGTGTCCTAGAGTGTTATCCTGGAGGAATAGGGCATGGGATAGGGTTGTTGGGGAGGATAAATTTGAGGACGTGGGACGAGGGTGTGGGGGAGGGTTCATTTGAAGGAATAGAATGTGGGACAGGGTTGTGGGGGAGGGTTAATTTGAAGGAATAGGACATGGGACGGGGGTGTGGGAGAGGGCTAACTTGAAAGAATAGGAAGTGGGATCGTGGGAGTGGGTTAACTTGAAAGAATAGGACGTGGGAATGTGGGTTTGGGTTAATTTGAAGGAATAGGACATGGGACGGGGGTGTGGGAGAGGGTAAACTTCAAAGAGTAGGACATGGGATTATGGGTGTTGGAGAGGGTCAACTTGAAAAAGTAGGACATGGAATCGTGGGTGTGGGAGAGGGTTTACATGAAAAATCAGGACATGGGAATGTGGGTGTGGGAGAGGGTTAACTTGAAAGAGTAGGAAGTGGGATCGTGGGTTTGGGTTAATTTGAAGGAATAGGACGTGGGAATGTGGGTGTGGGAGAGGGTTAATTTGACATAATAGGACATGGGACGAGGGTATGGGGGAGGGTTGATTTGAAGGAATACGACGTGGGACAGGGGTGTGGGGGGGGGGGGGGTAACTTGAAGGGTAGAACATGGGATTGGGGTGTGGGGGCGGGTTAATTTGACATAATAGGGAGTGGGACGGAAGTGTGTGTGTGTGGGGGGGGGTGGGGTTAATTTGAAGGAATAAGGCATGGGATGGGATTGTGGGGGAGGGTTAATTATAAAGCATAGGACGTGGATAGGGGTGTTGGGGAGAGTTAACTTGAAGGAATAGGACTTGGGATTGTGGGTGTGGGAGAGAGTTTATTTGAAAAAGTAGGACGTGGGATTGTGTATGTGGGAGAGGGTTTACTTGAAAGAGTAGGACATGGGATTGTGGGAGAAGGTTAACTTGAAAGATTAGGACGCGGGATTGTGGGTGTGGATTAACTTGAAAGAGCAGGACGTGGTATAGGGGGTTTGGGGAGGCATAACTTGATCTTAAAGAGTAGGATGTGGGATCGTGGGTGTGGGAGAAGGTTGACTTGAAAAAACGGGACATGGGGTGTGGGGGAGGATAGGTGAGGGATCGGGGGTGGGGAATGATGTGGGGATGAGTATGAATAATACTGATGTCACCGATGAACTCCCAAACAGACCATGCTTCAATCAGGGAAATGACAAGTGGAAACAATCAACCAAAACAATATGGGTTATAAAATATCACCAAGATAGATAGACATGGAGTCCAACCTTTTTAATTTTTCCCGCCTTCTCTCCGCCAACTTCAGTCAGTCATGATAAAAACTCTGATAAAAAATGAGAAACTAGAAGAAAAAGAGCTAGAAGATCAAAATAAAACGACAAATAACAGAAAAAGAGCATACGAAGAGGTGCCCGCTAGACGATTTCGTCCATGTAAAAGCAATAGCACAAGATATTTTTTTATTAAAAACGCATTTGGCCTATACAACAGTAATTTCTTTACAATAATAAGAATGATGTCAGATCTAGTTTTGGGACATCTAGACATCCGTCCATGCTGAGTCTTCCTTACTTTCAAGATAACTTGCTAGCTCGGTATCCTCTGCTTTCAGCGCTTGGATACGTGGCGTGTTGCCCTGGTAATCGGTGATTGTGAGGGCAGCCCCTGCTTCTACCAACATGGCGCATATGGTTCTTCTCATGTACCAAGCAGCTTTGTGGAGTGCAGTCTGCTGCTTCTCCACATCACGTGAGTCCAGCAAGTCCTTAGGCCCTACAAATCAAATGATAGCGCAAGGATAACAAAAAGTTAACTTCTGGTAGAGGTAAAATAATTGCTTCATTAATATTGTGCACATAACCATCCAAAGGCACGCTGTTCATGTAGACAAAGTACTATTCCAGTCAAACCTGTCTATAGCGACCGCCCAAGGGAAACACAAAAAGTGGTCTTTGTGGACAGGTGGTCTTTAGAGACAGGTTCCTTAATTACATGTTTCAATGAGAAACCATTTTCAAGGGAAACAAAAAATGTGGCCTTTGTAGACAGGTGGTCTTTGCAGACAGGTGGTCACTAAAGCAGGTTTGACTGTATTAACCTAATTTTTAGGCTAGGTGTCCCGAGGCGCTGAAAGTATTCAAGAAATACAAGTAAGTACCAAACAGATACCTATTTACAACTACTACACCTGGGTGAACAGTGGCAAATGGCTTTAGATGTCTGTATTGAGTTCAATACATGTCATGAACATGTCAATGAAGCTGTACTAATGTAATGGATCAAAAGCGTTTATTTGTTTTTACAAAAGAATACATTTAGCCCATCTGGACATCAAAATTTGGCTTTATTTTGGAGCAGATGGACGTTACAGATCAAACTTGAAAATTGGTTCTTTGAACGCAATCAGTAAAATATTGTTAATCAATATTACATGTAGCTCTATTTAGTTATGAAGCTATGGAGAGAAACCCTAAACGCCCCAATAAAAGACAATATTTTACACAAACATTGTATGTGTTACATCAATCAACTGTGGCAGTACATTATTGACTTCATTAGGGATCGACAGCTGTTTAAGAGTTGAACTGTATATACAAGACTGCAAATGTTTGCCACACAAAGTTGGTAGGAAACATGTAGCTGAGTTATCTTAAAGAGCAAGTCCACTCCAAAAATAAGTTACTTTAAAAAGAAGCAGAAAAATCAGACAAACCAATAAGAAAAACTTTGTGCAAAATCGGATAAGAAAGTTATGAATTTTGAATGACATGAAAAACTTTGAAAATCACAAGTTCCATGGTTTTTCATACTTTAAAAAAAAATCATAACTTTCTTATTAGTTATCCGATTTTACTCAAATCTGTTGTCCTCTGTTTTTCTTGTTTTTCTGCATCTATTAAAAGCAAATTATGGACTTAGCCTTAAAATGATTCTTACCAAAGTTTTACAAAAATACTGACTAATTTTCCAGCAAGAACGTTTAATACTCACCATGCTCTATTAAGTATTGCACAATCTCTTTGTGTCCAAAGCGTGCCGCATGATGCAAACTTGTCATTCCATGCTGGTCCATTGTCTCTAGATTGGCACCCTTCCGGTGGAGCTCTGCATATTTCATAGGGTCCCCTCGCTTCGATACGTCGATCAACACTGGGAAAAAAGGTATATTTTTCATTATTAGCCCAATGAGTGAGAGAATAAAAAAAACCCTCAAATATTGATAATTAAATCTTGCACAAGAATTTAAGAGAATTTAACAATGTGTTTGAATTTATCATTTATGACAAGTACCATATAGGAAATGCAGTGACCATGATGCTTAAAATGCATTTTAAAATGATAATTATCAAATCCTTTGAAAATACACTAAAATATATAATGATGGTAATTATATCCTTATCAAATACTTATTAAACCCTTATCAAACCCTTATTCATTGGCTTACAAGCCTTAACACATCGATTCCTAATTCAAATTTTATGTCTCAAATGTTTCATTCACAATTTTTCATTTAAGGTACATATCAATATGTCTTAAAGAATGATTAAGTAGACCTTTAAAAAAACTCTGAACCTCTGAGGGTTAAAGGTATAGATCAGTTCTGGTAATGCGATTGCATTGTGAAAGAAATGCTGTGGAATTGATCAGAAAAGTTGATCATCTAGCATATAAGTATTGGTGTGTACTGCAAGATTCTGGAATCATCAAAATGATAAGAAATTTGGCCCAGTCTTGGTAAAGTTAACAGCACTGTACACATAAAGATGTATATGGGACTACACGAACATGTGGCATAAAAATCCATCCCGATTATAATGATGTTACATGCCATATTTAGAATATTAAGGCATTTGAAGACCCATGCTTTTCAGAAACATTTTTTATTTGATGTTCTTCCACACTTGCATAATACAATGATAACGCTCACAAATCTTTTTTCACCTCTTCCCAGAACTCAACCTACATATCGATATGTCTTAAAGAATGATTAATTAGACCTTTAAACAAATTCTGAACCTCCGAGGGTTTATATACACTTACTTTTATTGAGGGGATCTAAGTGCGCTGTGTCTGAAACTCCGACAACGATGTCTCTCTTTGGCGGCTTCGGTGAATTTGACGTATGTGTGATGATGGCTTCACAACTACAAGAAGACAATGATATAACATCACATTACTTATTAATTGGGTAACTGCAGATTAACCCGTTCACAACTGAATTTTGTAAATCCCCATTGATTTTGTACAGGGCCCATTTAGTTCTGGTAAGCAATGGGTTAAAATAAGCTTTGTTATTCATAGCTGTATTGCAAGGCAATACACATGTAACACTTTGGATTTCATGACATGTGTTTGACTGAGCAGCCAATTTAAAGTATTGCTTACAAAATTCAAGACATTAATTTTTGCTACAGAGTATATATTCATCACAACTGTTTGACAAAACAGTCTGCATGACCGAATTAAAAAATGAGGCAATGTGTCATCAGTATAGTATCACAGTGAAACCGCAATGTAATAAGCTTTATTTTAGCTTAAATGTCGATATCAAAATAGAAAAAATTCACAAGTAGTTAGGCGACTTAAAAAGCCAATCAAATGAAAGTTCATGCAATGATATTTGCATTGTTGACAACACAATAAGTTGATGTGAGTTAATGTCTTTATGGCTCTTAACAGATAGAATATTTACAATTTACTTCTTACAGCCATTTAGATTAATGAGACTGTAGTTACCTGCTAAGAGCTAGAAAGGCATTAACTCACAACTTTAGAATATAATTAATGTCCTTCTGGTAGACAACATCATCAGTTTTACTTGCTAAAGTTGTGTCTAAATAGCATCTCAGACAACAACAACAACAACAAAGACAAATACAACAATACAAGGAGATGAAATATTTATCTGGCTATACATACATGTACATAAAGATAGATTAGAACGATAAACCATATTTGACAAATTCCTTTTATGATTCTGCCCGGCACAAGCACCCCAAAAGTTAAAAATTGTTAACATGTAGCACATTGACTTAGTGATAAATTCTTTCATTTTCCCAATTGGTTGATTTTGATCTTGGAGCCACGTATTACTTCTAATCATAATATTCAATTAAGTATTATACATGCATGTACATCTACAATATATATTTCTATTCTGAATTCAATTAATTCAAGAATGCATTGTCCATTATTTAACATTTATGGAATTTGTTTTGTTTCACATGCATTATTAATATTGTAAAACACAACGAATGAATTAAAAAGCATGCAGAGTAAAAATCTGACTACATATTTAATGTACAAAAACAATTATTGGATACTAATGAAAAAAGAACAATCACAATGAGGAAACTACATCTTTCAACTGCATGATTAAAGGTAATACAAAGTTTTGGTATGAGGTCATGAATTCAGTTCAAATGAACATATTGGAAGCATATGCGATCCTACAATATTCAGTGATCGTTGTCGAGGTCAAAATCGACTCTAAATTTATGAAATTGTAAATAATAAACACTTTATGTTGTATAGCTCCCTCTCAAGGTCAAGATATTAATTAAGCTATAAAACAATGTAACTTGACTAAAATCGACCGATTAGCTATTCCCGTTCGGAAATTAGATAGCACAACTACATATTCTGAGGTTTCCATAGTCGCAGCTACCATTGTACGGCCGTAGGAGCTATTTGAAATTTATCAAAATTTACCGGAAGCACTGGTAAATTTTTATATTCAATTTTTCTTGAAAGCAGAAATGTTTGAGGGACTAAAATTCCTAGTGCATTTAATACATCCACAGGGGCATCCAAATATATCAAAATTGTAAAGAATCATTATCCACCCTTTTTTCAAAATTTACCAAAACTTTGTAATACCTTTAAAGCTACACAATTTAATCATGAACATTAACCAAAGGATATACTTGAATGTAAATGTAGGTTCTCATCATCATTTTAATTAAGTTAACCCTTGCCCCCAGGCTTTTAACGAATGAATGAACTTTCAAGTCTTAAATTTTTCCTTGTAGTGTTGTTTTCAATTTTAGAGTGGGCATAACATAAATCTATGGGAATAACATTTACAAAATTAGGGTTCTTGAATCTGTTTCAACAGTGTACCTGTAGATTAACCCAAAGCAATTCACAGTTTCCTTGTTTTCTAAATTGATCAGTTTTCCTTTGTCAAATTGGCAACAATTATATGTAATCCTCTTTGCCACAACTTCATAGTTTGTAACAAAATATTTTTATGTGTCTTAGATGAATCAATATGAAATAAAATTTGCAAAATTTAACCAAAATATGCAAGAATAGTGATTTAATAATTCAGTTACTCTCAATTGCTAAATTAAAGACTATGAATAAAGGAATTAATTGATTTGTAACAATCAAATGGACCTTATACAAGAATGGCACAACATACTGCATTGGATATTCTGGCTCAAAAGATAATGCACAAATGTCACTAAAAGGAGATACAGTACTGCTATAGGTTCATGCAAACACACAGTCTGACACTTTTTGCAGCATTATATCCTACCCAGGATACGATAAGGGTTCAAGCTCGAGAAGCAGGTACCCATTTCACAAAGCCTTTTATCAATGACAAATGACAAAGATCAGTGACAAATCTGCTGATGACCAATCAGAAGCAAGGATTTTACTAGCTTATAACAACAACTGTCAATTGTCACTGATGACAAGTTTGGTGAAATGGGGCCCAGGACTAGAATAAAAGCACAGATGTTCACACTATAAGGCAGCTTCGCAAAATGTAGTATACAAAAAGATGCATCCAGAATGCAAAATGCATAATCGTTAGATTGTAGTGTTTGTTACTTAAATATTTTTTCTCTAACAAATATGTTTGAAACTGAACTAGCATTAAGCCTCATTAGTGATAGTACATGCATTAACCAGCTCTATATTCTATCAATGTGGTTCTACCTCTGTGTGATAAATATCGTCGCCTGGCTGGCAGAAGAGCGTTAGCTCGAATTTCAGGTAAAAAATGAAGCGCTAAGCAGAAGGGCGTTGGCACTAAATTGCCTCAAACCTTTATAAAACTGACTTATATCTGAGAAAAAATTGTGACCGTGTTCTACTAAAACGCTTCTATTAGTCTTATAAGTTTCAAACCAATTTTGGGGACGGAAAGCAGTTTAAATTTAAAACAAATCTTTAAATGTGAATAATTAGAATAGTAGTTTTCGAGTCGGTCACGCGCTACCGCCCTTCTGCCAGCCGGGCGACGACATATGATTTTCAATAATGCATCTTTTTGTGCCACTAAATTCTGCTAAGCTTCATAAAAAAGATTAGTACATCAATCAGGTACCTTTGCGACGGGAGAGAGTGCGCTCCATCCTCACTATCATAACCAGTAAACTCATTGTTACTGGCACTAGCAAGGAGGCTCACATCAATCCCTTGGGTTATCTCCTCAATACTGTCACTTCATGGATGCAAGGAAGGTGAGAGAGAGAGAAGGAGGAGCAAGGAGTGGAGTTATTGAAAGGATGGATAGATAGATGGAAATAGGATGGGAAATCGTGGGCCAGATATTTAATAGGGTGAAAGATTTATGATTGAGAAAAAATGGAGATATAGAAAGGAAAGTGTGTGTGTGTGTGAGTGAGAGAGAGAGAAAGAAAAAGAGAGAGAGAGAGAGAGTTTGTGTAAGAGAGAGAGAGAGAGAGAGAGAGATAAAGACCATATGAAGAAGAAATTATCAGATGATAGTGATCATTTAAAAGAAATACAGAAATACAGAAGTTAGAGAATAAGAAAGGAGAAAAACAAAGCCAGATATTTAATAGGGTGAAAGATTTATGATTGAGAAAAAATGGAGATATAGAAAGGAAAGTGTGTGTGTGTGTGTGAGTGAGAGAGAGAAAGAAAAAAAAGAGAGAGAGAGAGAGAGAGAGAGAGAGAGTGTGTGTGTAAGAGAGAGAGAGAGAGAGATAAAGACAATATGAAGAAGAAATTATCAGATGATAGTGATCATTTAAAAGAAATACAGAAATATAAAAGTTAGAGAATAAGAAAGGAGAAAAACAGAAAAAGAGAAGGAAAGAATAATATATATAAGAGGGTGTGTGATTGAGAAAAGCAAAACAGAGAGAAAGAATTACATAAGGGAAAAAACAAAAGAATGAAACAGGAATGGGGAAAGATGACTTAAACAAAATCATCAATTCCCAAGAAGAAGAAAAAAAAATCAAGAATGTTCATTGGAGGAAATGGAAATGCCCAATGCAAATGAGAGATGAGGGAAATAGGATGAAAAAGAGTTGAGGAAATCAAATGAAATAAAAGGAAATCAAATGAAATAAAAGCAAACCAATTGATATTAGAATGAAAATAATATCCAGTATACGTCAATGAGTTATTAGAAATGTTACATGAAGTAATCAATCCATGGAAATCATTAATATATGTCAGAAACAAAGTCAAACAAAGTTAGATGGATTAGAGGTCAAACATGAATTTCTATCGTCAATTGAAAATTACCTGTCATCTTTGTTTTACCATTACAATATGAGGGATAATACTGCTGAGGTGCTTTAATTCTTACAGCACCAAATCTAAAGAAACATAAGTAACCCCCCACTTACTGGTGATTTATATGGAAAATGGGTGCAGCAATTAGCCACATGTGCCTCCAACTTTGAAAGCCTATCTCTCTCTCTATCTTTCTCTCTAAGTGCCAAATCGCTTGACCTGTGGCAATGCTGTTCCACAACCCTCGGCTCTAAGCCTTCTCTATGAGCACCACTCCCAGGGTTTTAATTCCTCTCTCTTCTAACAATTTCTGTAACAACACTGTCCATCCACAGTATCCTTCTTCTTCCCCTACTCCTCCTTCCCACAATTTTCCCTGTTAAACAAAGATTCTCTAGACCTTTTTTAACATGTAATGTGCAATTCAACTGCCTAATTGACATCTCACGTACCATTTTCCTTTGCATGTATCAAATTAAAAATAAATTGGGCAAATTCAAGGAAAACAATGTTCCCTTAGTCTGGAAAGTTCCTGAAAGTCCCCTTAAAAAGGCAGAATCACATCATCGGCCCATGGCATACCTTCTGGACTGCATCAGCTGACCCGTGACAGGCACCTTGAGGTTAGTTCCGAGGATGGTCGGTGAGGGCGTCCTATTTCCTAGGTCTTGGACCAGGAGGTCTGGCATGGACCCAGACTTGCTCTCCGGGGATAGACTCGAGGGTTTGGTCCTCTCCGGGTCTAGGACGTAGAGGTCGTCCGATGAGATGTCTGTGATGTAGTGGAGATGCTCCTGAAGACGGTCTATCCTGAAGAAGCGATCGGCTGTCGTTGCTGTTATAATGATGATAATGATTATTATTTTGGTTATTATAATGATTATTATTGAAAAACTGTAGAACCAGCAACCTACTGCTGTGCAGACGGGCTCATCTGTTGACCACTTCAAGAAATTACTCAAATCCCTTCTATTCTGCAAGAAATTACTTTATTACCAGCCTATATATACTTAACTGATCTCTGAGAAGTGACAAACTGTTGTTTATAAGTAGCCCAAACATTGTGGAGCGGTGTGCGCAGCACTTTGTAACCGCAAGGAAAATGTGACATCATACCAATCTATTTTTAGAATTTCTAAATTTTTTCTTCATTTTCTGAAAGAGCATCAAAAAATTATGTCCAAATGTAGAAAACCAATTAAATATGTTAATAACCTTATGAACCAGAGCAAAATAACTTTGAGTTCCTATAGGAAATTTATTTATTCAGATGGCCATATCTCAGCCAATACTTAACATATTCAATTGCTTTTCAACATTTGGGCATTATTTTGTATGCTCTTTCGGAATATGAAGAAAAGTTGAGAAATTCTAAAATAGATTGTTATGACGTCACACTTCACCACTCTATAATGGATAAAGGAGAATTAGAACTACATGGTCTTATTTTTCTAAAAAATGTAATGAATGCAGCATCTTTTGAAACCAAACTTTTCTGGTGTGTTTCAGAAAGATCCCAAGTTGAACTTATCTCTCATTTAGACTTAAAAATTATGGAAAGCCGTTAGCATCTTTGAAATTATTTTGTAAAGATCATTTTTAAAAGGCACAAAATGATGATTCAAATTATTCATACTTTTTATTATAAGGGAGATTTCATGTTCTTGATGTGGAATTCATGAAAAGTCTAAAATACTTGAATTTTTGCTTTTGAATATATTATATTTCAAAGGAATCTGGTAACTTTGTCTCAGATTCTGAAACAAAATCCTGAATTTAGCTCATGCTGCAATGATAATTATAAACCTTTAGGTCAGTCAGGAATGTTACCCATGACTTTTACACGCTGATCACCTGTCTCATTATCAAGATATTAATGATTGGAAATCAAAATTTCTAAATTCATTTTTTCTAAGAGTTTTTATAACACTACAGTCTATTAGGGAAAACAAGTATGGTGAAACCGGTCACTCAATGACTTTTACTTTTTGAGGCAGTTATGATCATTTTTAAGCGCAATTTTTTAGGGCTTCAATATTACACCATATCACAGACACTGTAACACATATTTAGGGCCATGCATTTCAGATTGGACATTGTTAAATGATGCCTTTATTAATGAATGCAGCATGTTTTGAAACTAATGATTTTCTGTTCTACTTACAATCCAGGAAACACCATGTCGGTGAGAGACTTGATGCTGATCCGTTGGCACTGGAGTCCTGTAGGATGTACACCTCTAGAAGTCTGTCAATGTGAGCTCGGATCTGCTGCAGGTTGCTGTCTGAGTCGACTACAATGATACCCAACGGCACGGCTGCAATGGAAAATTAGGGAAATGTGGGTAGAAAGTATTAATTAAAAGTGACAAATTATGCTTTAAGTGCTCTGTTTATAATATTTGTGTAATTGGAAGTCCAAAAAGCAAAAAGAGATATGGATGTCCATAAATGTGAGCTCGGATCTCTTGCAGGTTACTGTCGACTACAATGATACCCAACAATGATACCCAACAATGATACCCAATGATACGGCTGCAATGGAAACAAAAGTTATATGAGCTTTAGGATATCATTTGAAAGGGCTATAACTCATCATACATTATTTGTTTTGAATATGTATATCATCAGATATCTGTCAAATGCTTGCAGACATCATGGAAGTCTGACGATCTTGGATCTGTTGAAGGTTGCTGTCAGAGTCGACTACAATGAAATCCAACAAAGGAAAATATGCACCAAGGTTTAGGTACTATTTGAAAGTTTTGAATATCACCATCAATTCTATGTTTTAGATATTCATATCATTGAACACCTGTTAAGAGGTTTTTAGAAACATTGTGAATATCTGTAAATATGAGCTCGGATCTGTTGCAAGTCGATGTCTGAGTTGACTACAATGATACCCAACGGCACGGCTGCAATGGAACATAGAGATATGTGCTTTAGGATACCATTTTAAAAGGGCCAACAAGTCTCATAGATTTTTTTTGTGGGACTATTCACATAATTTGATATTTGTAAATCTTGTTCACCCACTATTGTTAACCCAGGGATGCCTCATCAGCTTAATTGCTGTTTTGTTCCTGAGAGCCCTGCAATCATTATTACCCCAGCCATTGCCAAGTACCCATCTACACCTGGGTGGAGAGTGGCAAATGTGTATTACTGACAGGCCAAAAGACGTTAGAGCCGGGCTTAGATTCAAAACATCAACTCTAGAACTGAGACTGACGAGAATGAACATGATACCATGACACCTCGACCTCTATTATTGGTGGTGATGGTTATTTTACCTGGCAGCTAAGAAAGCATAAATGCTTGTTAGTAAGCAACCAGAGGACCGACGGCTTAAGGTCCTCTCCAAGGGACCGGGCAATGAGGATATGCCTTACCAAAGGGCACTAGCGCATCGTCTTGGTTTCGAACCCGGGTCAACGGATTACTAGACCACTGCCCTACCAACTGAGCTATCACGCCTCCTCTTATATTATATTATAAAAATAACATGCAGAGAGAAAGAAAAGAAAGATTTATACTTACAAGCTTTCTTGAGCTTCTCCTTGTCGTAGTTAAGTCTCTCGTAGTCATGCATACTTATTCTACTGACTTGTATCCTCAGTCTATCATTCGATAGTGGAGCGCTGAAATATATGAAATGAAATTAAAGAAATTCATAGCAATTAGGAGTTCCATTTTCAACATTCATCATACATATTAATCAATACTGTAGCAAAACTCTCTTTTGGAGCATGCATGCACATACATAATGTCAATTTTCCTGAGTAATTGGAACAGGGCAACTTCTAATAAGTTATTATTGATAAGTAGACAGATTCTGTAAGTCAACGGTTCTATGATTTTTTTTTAAATTGTTTATTCCAAATAGATACACAGATTGAGAGGGAGAACCCTGGCATATAGTGATGCATCTATCAATTCGAAGAGAAAGTTTTGGGTTTGAATTCTTGTACTAATAGGGGCCTATACATGTATATACAGAATAATAGGCTATTTTCATCATAATCACAATTATGATTACTCCTTAGCCTCTCTCTTTCCATTTTGTGTCGGTCTGATGGTCGTATCGTCTGTGCGGCCGGGGTATACAGAAGGAGTATCATGCTATGTTTTTTAATGTTACACTGAAATTTAAAACCAGAAGATTGTAAGTGTGAAACAATATGTTTATTCATTATTTGTCTGCAAAATATTGTAATGCATATTTTGTAAATTATTGCATTTTCTGACCAACAAAATTTATTAAGATAAAAATAGAAAATAGAAATAATAATCATAATTGGGTTATCATGATTGATCATTATTATCCTAAAAAATGAAACCTACTCTGCATTAATTGGCACTGATCCTCGTCTCTTTGGCTTAAGCAGCATGTTGGCTTGGTTACGCAGCATGATGTGGATAATAGAGGGCGGTAGACGGCATGGTTCGCCATCCACCTGGATGGGTATCGTTGTCGTAGTGATGACCTTGGCCTCTCGGCATTGGCAGATTCGCTCGCCGTGACCTCCAACGTATAATGCAGCCTGGGATTGAAAGTGAAAGATATTCATAATCAGGTGATCTTATCTTGGAAAGAAGACAAAATTATAATTATTGCTTGGCCTCCGTACATCGGCAGATTTGCTTGCAGTGACCTCCAACTTTTCAGACAGCCTGGGATTGAAAGGGAAAAACATATCATAATCAGGGGATCTGATCTTGAAAGCAAGACAATTTATATGATTATTTGGCCTCTCGACATTGACAGATTCGTTCGCTGTGACCTCCAATATACAATGCAGCCTAGGATTGAAAGAGAAAAACACAATCTTAATCAAGTGATCTGATCTTGAAAAAAGAGACAAAATCATTGAACTAGGTCAAGAAGATTACATGACACATGTTATGCCTATATATAAAGAGCTTAATACCAAAAGGAGCTAAATCCACTTTTGATGAAAATTGAGTTATTGATATCAGAACATTGTTCACCTAAGTACCCGTCTTTCAAGAAAATCTTTTACCTAAATTTGGGAGCAATTATGAAAAAAATGCACCTTCTAATATCACTTTTCCACAGACGCCTGTACAAAATCTGGTAAACAATTTCTTTTTTTCTGAAGTTACAAAAATGGATTTAGCTCCTTTTGGAATTAACTCTTCATATGCTCCATATACAATTTAGTTCAACTGCACGTAGCTGAATTATCCACTTCAACAATGTACAACTAACCCTCACTCTTAATCTTATTTGTATCTGTCTCCCTAAAATAACCCAATCCTCCATCTGTGACAAAATAGGAAATAGAGCGCATTACATTTACGTCATCACGAAATCGGGGAGTGGAGAATGTGCATACATTGTGTGACTTACGATTTGTGATGGTGTGAATCCTATGATCTCTAAGAAGCCGTCGTCATGTCTCTGTTGTTCAAACTGAAGTGAGCTGGGATTTCCCCACGGAGTGGTGCCCGCACCATATCTGATCAAACAAACATAAATGCAATTCAATTTATTGATAGAGTCATACAAAAAAAAATGGAAATAAGATAATTGATAAAATCATTTGTGTCACGTTACCTCTTTTTTTTAGGAGTACGTTTGCATGCATTGAATTAGCCCCATGTATAAATGTAAATTAGGAAGTCCAGACTTTTCCCTCTACTTTGTAGTTCCTTTTTTAGTTACAAATTTGTTAATTTAATTACTCATTATTCATAAGTATCATTTGAGGGGTCCACAATTGTACAAGCATTGTTTTTTAGTGGACCCCTCTGTTTCCAATATGTTTTCCTAAATTGTTTTTAATGTTTATATTTGGTTTGTAATGTTTTGTTAAAAACACAAATAAATTGAATTGAATTGAATTGAATTGACTTAGATTGCAGGTGGCAAAGTGTCCCAGGTGCCCATTGGTGTCAAGACCTGCCTTAACCCCAATGAAGCAACTAATTTGCAAACATATGATATTGGAAGACACCAGTTTTCATATTTTCACTCCTTCGGATTTAGCAATGTGATGGTTATTTTACCTGACTGCTAAGAAAGCATAAATGCTTGTAAGTAAGCAACCAGACGGCCGACGGCTTTAGGTCCTCTCCGAGGGACATGGTAGTGAGGATTAATGCCTTACCAAAGGGCACTAGCGCATCACCTTGATTTCGAACCCGGGTCACTGGATTACGAGACCACTGCTCCACCGACTGAGCTATCGCGCCTCCTCTTGTTATATGTTATATTGCGAAAAGCAATTTTCCATCATATAAAACTGATAAATTCATGAACCTGCTTTTAATTTCAAGTAGGGCATTTTTTCCTCAGTCCAAATCTTTTAAATTCAATAATCATATTCAGAAGACTAAAACCGTCCATGTTAATTCAGGTCTTTGGTCTAGTTCTTTGATCAGGTCTAGAACAAGTTAGTGAAACAGGTCTTAGAAAGTGCCATAGAACAGGTCCTGAAAAAGCTCCTGGAACAAGTCTTGTAGCAATTCTTGACCAATCGTGGATAAGAACATGAAAGCGATCCAGGACTTACTTGGGGATATTGAGGAATAGTAGACAGTGTAGTTTGAGTTCCTGGATCCTACTGGTGAAGTCCACTCCATCACATTCTAGAGTGATCTTCTTGGTTAAGTCTTTGGACGCCCTCTTGAGGAGGTCTGTTCCCCCGGCCCGGGCGTAGTACATCTTGTTACGGAATCTGCTGTTGAACTTCTCTGGGTTGGCCTCTGTGATATGCAATGAGATAAAGAAATATTTACAATAAAGTTTAAATTATGTTATTTTGAAAGAAAATACTGGTAATTCACATTAAAAAAAACAATAGAGCTTAAATGAAGCAAAGTACAGTTCCTTGGCCCAAATATAACTGTCGTTTGGTGCACAATACCAAAGTATGCAAAATTCATGCCATTTTAACCACAAGTTGAAACACCTCTTGTTATGGGTACTTTAGACTATATATGGATATTTGAGTCTGAACAAATGTAGCATAACTCTTTGTTTTCTTGAACCTACTCAAACCTAGGGTGGTATACTGCATGCCTACAGATAAACTCTAACTTTGTTGGAGCCAGGAGTATTTTCTTCCTGAAACGGAAAAGGATACATGTACATGTAGTCTCTATCAGAATACAGCATTCAACGATGATAATATTTTTTTGTAAACCCAGTTGACGAAAAGACAGAGAAAATTGCTTGAATTTGTGGTATATTTGTGGTATATTTAAACAATATCGAATTGATATTTTGCACCCAAAGCCCTTGAAACGCAATTTTACCACTACCTTCAAGGGTTGAAATGATCTTATTCTGAAAGAAAATTTTTTATTTCACTAATACTGATCTCATCTTGTTCAGTATATTCTAGAGAGTTAGTGTAGTGTAATTATGTCAAAATTCAAACAATGTAATTTATTCACAAGAAAAGCTGGCTGTTTCATTTTAACAGTGCAAAACGAAATATACACATGTGTGCACATTTATTTAATTAATACATGGTGTAAACATTTTTCATGTAAAAGATAAGCATTTCAAGGCATGTGGATAAAAGGTGCTAAAATTAGACATTTCTCACTATTTAAAAAAAAAAAAAACTTATCTATGGATTGAATGCATATCCTTATAACATAGAAAGATATTTTGTGTAGGCAGCATGTTTTGTTAGGCCTAACATAAAAACTTGTTGTATTGCCCTTTGCGACCGACCCAAAAATCTGAAAATCTATGGATCCGCATTTCTAAAAATATGTATTTTGTTCAAACATTAAAAACTGAAAAATATTGGCCCAAAGAGGGCGACAAAAAAAAGTTAAAAAAAAACAAAACTTTTCTGATCGACCGACCGATGTTTTGACACCTAAAGGGCAATACAACAATTTTTTTTTTAGGCCTTGTATCAGAATCATGCAGTTACCCATATGTGCAGACAAGGATGCTACCCAGTCTCGGGCACTCTAACCATACCGTTTCTTCTGCACTTACCTCTTGATTCGTGGAATTCTAATGCTGTTCTTGCATCGGCTCCTAAGCTGAAGTAATTGTTGAAAACATCCAATGGCTTGGTGTCGATGTCCCGCTCCTCTTTCGTCAGCGCAACGTCAGGATTAGGTTCATTGATGAGATTCCACCTAAAACAAATGAAAGGACAATTTGGTTAGTGAGGTCACATCAACATGACGAAAACTCTCCGTTAGAGAAAATTCAGTGAATTGTCTCATAGACTTTAGTTTGGTCCTAAGCACTTTGATATAGTCATTATCATTAAGTAAACAAGACCCTTCCTTATCTGCTGGTGAACTTATCCCTCTGTCAATACAAGGCTATTAAGGACTTAATCCCTGTATCAACAGAGCTTGCGTACATTTAGGTGAGCCTGGAGCGTTGGGTTAGTCTAGAATTCAGACAATAATTATTGGTTTCAGCATGGACCTGCGAGAAGTAAATTAGATGTATTGTGGTACCAGCAACTGGCAACTTTGGAACTCAAGTCGAGCAATAAGTGTTACTAGCATATTTACGAGACGCTGCATTCCGAAAGAAAGAAATGAATGAAGGAAATAAACGTCAATATCACCGGCGCTTGAGACAGATTGCAGGAGAAATAGAAGCAAAAACATTTCAATATCGCTGTTACCGGCTTTTTAATATTACACAAATTATGCCAACGGAAAAAAAGAAATGAATGAAGGAAATGAATGCCTACAGCACCAGCGCTTGAGAAATATAAAGAGAGACATGTCTCAGGAGATCGAGAAGCGAAAACAATTCAATTTAGCTAATGTTACCGGATTTTATATGACAAATAGTACGCCAACAGAAAGAAAGAAATGAATGAAGAAAATGAACGCAGATCGCTGGAGAGAGAGAAGCGAAAACAATTCAATGTCGCTGATGTTACCGGCTTCATGACAAAAGGTAAGCCAACGGAAAGAAAGAAATGAATGAAGAAAATGAATTCCAATATCACCATCGCTTGAGAATTATGAAGAAAGACAGATTGCAGGAGATCGAGAGAAGCGAAAACAATTCAATTTGGCTGGTCCATCTATCATGACAAAAAGTAAGCAACGGAAAGAAAGAAATGAATGAACAAAAATGAACTTGTCAATATAACAATTAAGCGTTTGAGCAATATAAAGAGAGACGGATCTCGGGAGAGAGCAAAGCGAAAACAATTAAAATATCGCTGATGTTACCGGCTTTATTACAAAAAGTAAGCCAACGGAAAGTAAAGAAAATGAATGAAGAAAATGAATGCCAATATCATCAGCGCTTGAGAATTTTAAAGAGAGACAGATCGCGGGAGATCGAGAGAAGCGAAAACAATTCAATTTGGCTGACGTTACTACCATCTATCATGACAAAAAGTAAGCAACGGAAAGAAAGAAAATAAATGAAGAAAATGAATGCCAATATCATCAGCGCTTGAGAATTTTAAAGAGAGAAAGATCGCGGGAGATCGAGAGAAGCGAAAAAATTCAATAGCTGATGTTACCGTCTATCATGAAATAAGTAAGCCAACGGAAAGAAAGAAATGAATGAACAAAAATGAACTTGTCAATATAACAATTAAGCGCTTGAGCAATATAAAGAGAGACGGATCTCGGGAGAGAGCAAAGCGAAAACAATTAAAATATCGCTGATGTTACTACCGTCTATCATGACAAAAAGTAAGCCAACGGAAAGTAAAGAAAATTAATGAAGAAAATGAATGCCAATATCATCAGCGCTTGAGAATTTTAAAGAGAGACAGATCGCGGGAGATCGAGAGAAGCGAAAACAATACAATTTGGCTGATGTTACTACCGTCTATAATGACAAAAAGTAAGCAACGGAAAGAAAGAAAATGAATGAAGAAAATGAATACCAATATCATCAGCGCTTGAGAATTTTAAAGAGAGACAGATCGCGGGAGATCGAGAGAAGCGAAAAAATTCAATAGCTGATGTTACCGTCTATTATGAAATAAGAAAGCCAACGGAAAGAAAGAAATGAATGAAAAAAAGAATTCCTATATCACCATCGCTTGAGAATTATGAAGAGAGACAGATTGCGGGAGATCGAGAGAAGCGAAAACAATTCAATTTGGCTGATGTTACTACCGTCTATCATGACAAAAAGTAAGCAACGGAAAGAAAGAAATGAATGTCAATATAACAATTGAGCGCTTGAGCAATATAAAGAGAGACGGATCGCAGGAGAGAGCGAAGCAAAAACAATTAAAATATCGCTGTTACCGGCTTTATTACAAAAAGTAAGCCAACGGAAAGTAAAGAAAATGAATGAAGAAAATGAAAGCCAATATCATCAGCGCTTGAGAATTATAAATAGAGAGAAGCGAAACCAATTCAATTTCCACGCTCTGTGCGAGAGTGGGAGGGGGTGTAATTAAGACAAGAATTAAGTTTCGAGAACGGTACAACGAATCGTCTTCTTTCTCTAATAATTTAATGAAGCGTCAAAGCTTCCGCGCTTTGCGCTGGAGAGGGGGTTGGAACTGAATTTATGCAAGAATTAAGAGTCGAGAACGGTACAACGAATCGTCTTCTTTCTCAATAATTCATTAATTGATAAAACGTCAAAGCTTTCGCTTTTTTGCGCAGGAGGGGGTGGGGAACTGAAATCAGACAATAATTTAGAGTCGAGTACGGTACAACGGCTCGTCTTCTTTCTAGAATAATTAAATGAAGCGTTATAAAGCGCGGGAGGGGGGGGGTGTTAATTAAGACAAGGATTTAGAGTCGAGAACAGTACTACGAATCGCCTTCTTTGTATTATGATTTAATGTAACGTCAAAACTTCCGCGCTTTGCGCGTGAGTGAGGGGGGGGGGGATGAATTCAGACAAGAAATAAGATTCGAGATTGGTACAACGAATCGTCTTCTTTCTCAATAATTGCAAAAATGTCAAAGCCTCCGCGCTTTGCGCCATAAGGGGGTGGTGAACTGAAATGAGACAAGAATTGAGAGTCGAGAACGGTACAACTAATCGTCTTCTTTCTCAAATAATTAAATGAAGCATTAAAAGCGCGGGAGGGGGGGGGGGGTCTTATTTAAGACAGGGATTTAGAGTCGAGAACGGTACATGAATATCTAATGATTAACTGAAGCGTTAAAAGCGCGGGAGGGGGGAATCTTATTCAAGAGAAGGATTTATAGTCGAGAACGGTACAACGAATCGTTTTCTTTGTCTAATGATTTAATGAAACTTCAAAGCTTTCGCGCTTTGCGCGTGAATGGAGGGGGGAGGGCTGAATTCAGACAAGAATTAAGATTCGAAAACGGTACAACGAATCGTCTTCTTTCTCAAATAATTAAATGAAGCGTTAAAAGCGCGGGAGGGGGGGGGGTCTTATTTAAGACAGGGATTTAGAGTCGAGAACGGTACAACGAATCGCCTTCTTTGTCTCATGATTTAATGAAACGTAAAAAAGCGCGGGAGGGGGGGGGGTCTTATTTAAGACAAGGATGAAGAGTCGAAACGGTACGACGATTCGTTTTCTTCCACTATAAATAATGTAATGAAACTTCAAAGCTTTCGCGCTTCGGACCAAAAAATAAAATAAGAGAAGGTGATTTTAGGAAGAAACAATTAATAATTACTTAAGGAAAGACAGAAAAAGAAAATGAGAAAATGATGAAGACAAAGAACAACATAAGAGAAGGTGGTAGAAGGAAGAAACACAGGATATCGTAAGGAAAGAGAGGAAGAGGAAATAATAAAATGATAACAACAAACAATAGCATAAGAGATGATAGAACAAAGAATAACATTAAGTAATTAAGACAAAAATAGAAAATGATTAAGAATACATAATGGAAAGATAGAACAAAGGATGAAAGATGGAAAAAAACAAAGATTAACATAAGGAAAGACAGAAAAAAGAAGGTGATAGAAGGAAGAAACAAAGAATAGCGTAAGTAAAGATAGGAAAAGGAAATAATGGAATAATAAAAACAAACAATAACATTAGAGAAGGTGATAAAAGGTAGTAACATAACATAATGAATTTAAGACAGAAAGAATACTGCTTAGGTCGGTTTATTAAAACAAAAGCAATGAAGAGAACACAGCGAAGGTCTAGTAACTAGACTACTCTCATTCAACAACAATAAACATCGCTCAGACACGCAGCTCAGAAATTGTCACACAACCTTCTCCGAGTTTGATTCTGATGCCAGCGCACGCAGTGCACTTACGCATACAGTTTTCTAACGAGACCGTACGTGCTACAGCGAGGGAAGAACGTACACGTAGTGTGCCTCGCTAGAAAATTGGACGAAACTTGGAAAAGACCCGTATGTCTATGCGACAATCTGCGCTCAAGCGTAGGCTGAGCAGCGTGGGCTGAGCGCACGATCTCATATTTATCTCCGCTTTTGCTGGTTCATTTTTTCCCGTTCAAAATTGCATTTGAGGTAGCAGTTCATTTTCAAATTTCTGGTAATAAAATCAAATTCAAAATAAAACATGAAATTAAAAAAAACATGTGCACTAATATGCGCAGTCATACAAGCTGGTCAGTCATAAGAGGGCTTAATCTGATGCAGCTGCTTAACAGCCGGTCGAAACGTGATTGACAGCTCTCTCCACGAGAAGAAGGGGGAAAAAGTTTCCTGAAGTGAGTCAAATCTGAAATTTGTTCGGGAGTATCAATATCATATCTCCGGTATTACTTGCCCAATTTTTGTGCTTTGAAGTTTTTTGGGGCAAATGAATCCCTAAGAACAAATTTCGGGAGAAAAAAAACACAGATTTGTGTAACTTTGGGATTTTTTTCTTCACATTTTCTCTTCAGCCAGACTCTGTTGACGGGTCTTATCAGCGCGTCATTGGCAATGGATTAGGAAAGTGATAAGAACGGGAGGTCCTTCTCCAGGCTCGTTTTCAAACTCTATGAGACAATCTCCGAGTTAGGGACACTAAAGTCGGAATCTCTCTAGCGAGGAATTTTCGTAATGAGGCATAATGTTAGCACCTTTAAAAATCAGGCTGTAGCAAAAAAACATTTATGCCAGATTATGACAGATAAACAGGGGCGATTTTGGATGCAGATGTGTTTTATTTCCCCCAAAACATAGTTTGGCAAAATGTTGCGTTAAAATAAAATGAAATAAGCATAGTGTATCTTCCAATTTCAGTATCTTAAACACAGATTGTGGAGTACATGTAATAATCTATTTAAAAAAAAACAGATGTGAAGTTATAGTTGTAGAGGTGTTGTGGTCTAGGATAAGTCACCCGACTGCAGATCACAAGGTACGAGGTTCAAGTCCCCCCACAGCACTAATGTCCTTTGGCAAGACGTTAATCTACATTTGCTACTCTCCACCCAGGTGTAAATGGGTACCTGATATGCTTGAGCGCTAGCTACTTTGGCAGCTCGGCTACAACCAGGGTAATATGTGTAAAGCGCCATGAACGTCAGAGCCTGGGGTATACCGGCACTATATATCCATATTATTATTATTATATTGATTATGTATTTAATTGTCATTTTCAAATCTAACTCAAGGGATGAGTTCTTGACTTGCCTGTCGAGTTGAACGACTGGTCCTTCTTCCACCTGCTGTAAGATCTTGGAGATGGGTTCATCGGTGTAACCCTAGAGAGAGGAGAAGGAGACAAACAAAAACAATGAGACAAGAAGAAGAAAAGGATGAAACAGAAGAAGGAAAAGATGGAGAAGAAAGAAGAAAGAATAGTAAGGGAAAAAAAAGAAGAAGAAGAAGAAGAAGAGGAAGAAGAAGAAGAAGAAGAGAAGAAGAAGAAGAAGAAGAAGAAGAAGAAGAAGGAGATGAGGAAGATGAGGAAGAAGAAGATGAGGAAGAAGAAGAAGGAGATGAGGAAGAAGAAGAAGAAGAAGAAGAAGAAGAAGAAGAAGAAGAAGAAGAAGAAGAAGGAGATGAGGAAGAAGAAGACAAAGAAGATGAAGAAGATGAGGAAGAAGATGAGGAAGAAGAAGATGAAGAAGATGAAGACAAAGAAGAAGAAGAAGAAGAAGAAGAAGAAGAAGAAGAAGAAGAAGAAGGAGAAGAAGATGATGAGGAAGAAGAAGATGAGGAAGAAGAAGACAAAGAAGATGAAGAAGAAGAAGATGAGGAACAGAGGAAGACAAAGAACAAGACTAAGAACACAAAGTAAAACAAGAGGAAGAACAAGAAAAACAAGAACTAGAACAAGAAAGAGGAAGACAAAGAGGATGACGAAGAACTCAAAGTAGAAGAAGAAGACAAAGAAAACAAAGTAGAAGAAGAAGATGATGAAGAAGAAGAAGACGAAGAGGAAGAAGAAGAAGAAGAAAAAGAAGAAGAAAAAGATGATGATGAAGAAGACAAAGAGGATTAAGTAGAAGAAGGAGACAAAGAGGAAGAAGAAAAAGAAGACAAAGAAGATATGATTGTTACTTACCCTTCCCCAATTGATAGTCCTGGCCAGATCATTTCCTGTACCAAGAGGTAGTACTGCTACTGGAGGCATTGGTTTGAATTTCAGCTTATCAATCTCTGACAGGATCCACCCGACAGTGCCGTCTCCTCCGCACGCTAAGATCCTCAGGTTAGGTACTTTCTTGAAGATCTCAAGACTGAAACAGACAAAAAAGGATAGAAATATTTTAATTATAATATTTCTACCTTTAAGCTGCTAAACACACACAAAGGAGTTTCTTTTAGACCAATGCACACAGTAATCGTAGTAGACTTTCAAAAATAGAAACTACCTATACATGTACAGAGAAAGTGTAATATACATATGCCTAAGGGACAAGGAATATTCACAAAACAGAAATATGAGGACTAAATTGTGATCTAAATCTCATAACATTTGCACTCATTCACATATCGTCGGCCGAGTGGCAGAAGTGCATTAGCATGTGAGCGACTCAAAAACTACTTTTCGATTTATTTGCATTTAAAGATTTTTTTAAATATTTAAACTGATCTCCATCCCGAAAATTGGTTTAAAACATTAAAGACTAATAGAAATATTGTGGTAGAACACGGCCACAATTTTTTCCTCTGAAATAAGTCAGTTTTATAAAAGTTTGAGGCAATTTAGTGCTAATGCCCTTCTGCTTCAAGTTTCATTATTGACCTGAAATTTAAGCTAATGCCCTTCTGCCAGCCAGGCGACGATATATACGACATCTCACTTCCAGTGATCTTTCTTAACCCGTTGACTACTGCATTTTCTCACTCTCATTAATAATAATAATAAGATATTTGTACAACGCAAATTGCAAATTGCCTCTAAGCGGTTTAGAAGAAAAATAGTTGATAAGTAAAGGAGACAGAATTTGCATTACAAATTACATCAATTCAATTAACATTAAAACTTAATACAGGAGCTACCCGGTTCCAGTGGGTTAAAATACAAAGCAATTTCCTGTTTCTCCTTTTCCTAAAAAAATGCACAAAAAACAATTCTGATTATATACAAAAAAAAGGAATAATATTGCTCTTTGAATCAGGATCAGATTGGGTATGAATTGAATCTTTAGGTTTGTCTTCATCTGCTTGAGATTGCCAAATAGCCTGATATTTCTGATTTGGGAATTAAGCCCGAAGTTACAAATTGTATCTTTATCAGCTCAAGACACGACCTCGAAACTCGAATTCAAGATACTTTGCTTAGCGTTCAGTCTTCGGGCTTGTGAAAGCGCACTGGACAAATAGCGGGATATTTTGCAAACTAGCCCAAGATATCTTGTCCAAATATCCCACTATTTGCAACTGCAGGCTGATGAAGACGCAAATTAGATGGAAAATTTGTGATCGGGATAGTTAAAAATAGCGGGTTATTTGGCAATCTCGAGATGATGAGGACAGGCCTAATGACTTACCCTTCCCTGGGTCCACCTTGTGAGAGGTCAAAGACTTGTCTAGGGTTCATTAACCACTGGAACTTAGTCATCAACTTCCCTCCCTGGTATGGGAAGAGGTTAAAGAAAGAGAGAGAGAGAGAGCGAGAGAGAGAGAGAGAGAGAGAGAGAGTATGGGGAGAAATGAAAGAGAGAGAAGGTATTATTCAGCATATTTACGTATTTATTTAACTGATTTTCCTATCTTCAGACCTTGTAAAGCGCTGTGTGAGAGCGCTTTATAGATGAACATGTTAATATCGTTATTAGTTACCGTATTTAACGGTGTATTAACCGCACCTTTTTGCCGCCGAAAAAAATTCAAAGTCGGGGGGTGCGGCTTATACATGGTACACCCAATTTTTTTTTTTGAAGTTTCGATTTATGCCCCTCCACCTGGCGCTATGCCTGGCAATGTCTCCTAGCTCAGTAATCGGTGTGTTGACTCACCACTTGGAAACTAGAACAACACTCAAATTTGTCTGTCATCTTGGTTTGAAAGTAATCTTTCTGATAGATTTCAATATGTAGTTTGTAATAATAATTCCTCCAATTTTTCTTCTATTACATGGCGTACCACAAGGTTCTATCCTAAGTCCTCTACTGTTTTTTAAGTCGGCAAAAAAAAAGTCGGCAAAAAAAAAAAAAAAAAAAAAAAAAATTAGGGCGAAAAAGAGGGGTGCGGTTAATACACGAGGGCGGTTTATACAACGTTAATTACGGTTACCTAAATATTCTTATTTACTACATAAACAATCTTTTTTTATACTAATTTCAAGATATGGTATTGTTTCCACAATGTAATTATGTTATTTCATTTTTAAACTTAGAAAATTAAGCCCTTTCTTACCTGATTCCCACCACTCTTTGGATTGATAAAGACAAGGACAGGTTTCATTAACGGAGATGGAATGGGCTTTATGATGAACGGCCTCTGAATCTTGCCTTCTTCCTTCTTTGATATTGACTTTCTCTTGATCGACGGCTTCTTCTTTTTCCTCTGGGAACTTTTGAAGGACCCCTGTAAAACACAAGAGAAAAGCGGTCCTTATAAACAGGTGGTCTTTACAGATAGACGGTGGCTAAGGCAGGTTTGACTGTACAAAATCAAAGAATAGCGATGAATATCTATAATAATAATACGCTAAGGCTACGCGGGGGGCGCGACGTCTCGGCGAGCCTTTGTATTCTATTGTTTTTTAATGAGATCGCCGACCCAAGTTGGTGCGGCTATCTCCTCCTGAACCCTCCCCTCGGGGTACCCGTGCCCGGTGCCATCGTCCGCGGGAGAGTCTACTCTGTGGAATTGGCTATACTCCGCCCGAGGTCCTCCTCCGTGTCGACGTCCAGGGCGAAAAAAGACGCGACATGCATAATGCAGGATATGCGTGACGACAGAGATACCTCATGGATATTCAACATAACATCCGTAGACACACGACCGATGACTATCCACTCACATTAAGTTGCGTATTAAATGCACGATGGACAGGGTCGGGATTACCCGAGTAAAGCATCTTTCTATAGGATATCCATTGTAGTAGCGCTGCACAAGCAACAGAGATACACACGAAGCTTCCCGTCCACGTCCAAACTTAGAGACCTATTTCCATCATTATTGCCGCGATTTTTATATAGTTTTCTTGAATGGAGGTATGAAATCAAAGCTTATTTTGTGATTATGACGGTTAATGTATACTACATTTTGATTATCACTTTCTAAAGGAAAGTTTTCACAAGAAAACCATTGGACTGACAGTTGCAGTCGCAAGCTGCCTTCAGTCCTCACACATACTACACACAGTGCAGTGTAACACCGGCACCGCGCACCGCAGGCTTCCGAGGCCTGCGGCGTCGGTGTTCGAGCTTCATGGAGTTACGCTGGAGTGTGTGCGAGTTCGATCAGCTGAGCTGAGCTCGAGTCGAAGAGATTTGACACTTTGAAATTGTTATCTGTTGGTTTGCATCACGATTTCAATATAGTTTCGTGAATAGATTTACGAAACCTGAGCTTAGAATTAGTAAAAGTATTACTAATGTCTACGTTTTTAAACGACTGTCTGATTTTCTTGTGAAAATTTTACTTTGAAAAATGATTATCGAAATTCATGGTCAGAAATAATCACAATCTAGATCTATTAATTATGTTACAGTTCTTGCATCAAAGCAATGCATGAAAACTTAGTTATTGAACTAGAAAAATGTTTTTTTTTTAAATAGGCAATTAGACCTATGAAGTATTAAGCCTGAAACCTTCGCCTACTAAACAAATCTCAACAAAGTGTAGGCCTATCCTTTTATGAATTAATGAAAAAGTAGCCCCAGAAAAAAGAGCCCCCGAAAGTTGAAAAAGTAGCCCTCGAAAATTTCCCAAAAATTTGAAATGGAGCCCGGCCGAAATGAAAAAACTTAATTTTTTGCCTGCCCCCCACCCTCTAGAATCCCGCGGATTTCCGCGGGTCCTGAGTTGAGTGTATATATAATATAGGCGTGGGGTCCACGGGTTTCAAGGGGCCATAAACCCCCAAAAGCTCGGGGGTTACGTTCTTCAAAGTTGGGGGGGGGGGGAGAGATCAGATCGCGGCGAGTTGAGTGTATATACAATATAGGCGTGGGGTCAACGGGTTTCAAAGGGCCATAAACCCCCGAAAGCTTGGGGGGTTTAGGCGTTTAGGGTCAGATGAGCATATTTTTAATACTTTATTTGTGACACTTGCGGGTCACTAATTGGCGTGGGGTCAATACGTAGAGTTGCGTAGTGTTGCGTACCAACTACGCTGGCCTACGTTACTATATGCTGAGGGACGGAAAGAGGTACGCAAGATGAACGAAAACAATTCAACATGTTTATTTTTTTTCGCGTACTTTCGGCGTAGAAACTTGACGCAGAAAGTACGCCTTTTTACGCAACAGTACGCTACCCTACGCCAGATCGTCAAAGCAGTAAAAGCTTTCTACACAGTAAGCAACCATAAGCAAACCTGTACGCCAGCCTACGCATAACCTACGCAGGGACTATTTTCCCATTAATATGCAGCCTAATTTCTGCGTAGTCGGTACGCCACACTACGGAACTCTACGCAGTTCCAGTGGCTTAAAGAATAACTACAGGTACAGTTGGATCGTTTTTTTTTTTTTTTTATATATATAAGGCCAAATTAAAAAAACAAACATGTTTAGCGTCCTGTTTTTTTCGAAAAATGGGGAGGAGGCCCTTTTTTTTTTTTTTTTTTTTTTTCAAAATGGCCGCTCCGTACATTTTCCCTGACACTCTGGCTATTTTTCAAGATGGCGGCCGACAATTTTTTTTTTTTCTTTTTTAAAAACAGAAATACATTTTAGCAGTGCTTTTCATGTTTTTATTCTTTCAAAAAAAAAAAAAAATAAATAAATAAATAAATAAAAATAGGAGGCGGCCCCCAAAAAGGAAGCACGCGGGGACGCTGTTTTTTTTTTCTTTCAAAAAAAAACAAAACAAAAAACAAAAAATATTAAACAATTACAAAAAATTTTAAAATTTTTTTTAAAAAAATTTAAAAAATTTAAAAAATAAATAGGAGGCGGTCCCCAAAAAGGAAGCAGGCGGGGACGCTGTTTTTTTTTTTCTTTCAAAAAAAAAATAAAAATAAAAAAAAATAAAAAAAATCAAAAAAATTTCAAAAAAAAAAAAATAGGAGGCGGTCCCCAAAAAGGAATCGGGCGGGGACGCTCAACATGTATATTTTTTTAATGGCCTGAATGGCAAGCAAAGTTCTTGGTGGTTTTAATTTAGACAGTCTCTATATATCTATTTACACCCCCGCCCCCCCCCCCCCCTCTAGAATCCCGCGGATTTCCGCGGGTCCTGCTAGTAGATATAATAATAATAATAATAATAATATTTAATTTTTATATAGCGCTTAATACAAATGTCTCTAAGCGCTTTACAAATGTACTTTTCCCTTGGACTCATCAGGGTAAATTGCAAGAATGAACGGAAGGCCGAAATCTGCCGATATAAACAAAAACTAAAGGAACAGCGCATGCAAAGTGTACCTGGCTGCTGGAAAGCTTCGAAACGGGCTGTTAGTTTTGTCTCTTTATGATTCTCTGCATATATCCTCTGCTTTGGTAAGCATATGATCCATGTAGGAGAGATGATTGGGAGGGAGGGAGGGGAAGAAGGGTGAGGGGAGTGTGAGAAGGAAGATGTAAGAAAGTGAGAGGAGGGGTGGAAGGGGGGGGGGGGAGGAGATTTTTGTATTCTCTGTGTAGGTAAACAAATGAACACCAAGTGTACAAGCTTGCTCCATCCAGGAGAGGAGAGAGGAGAGAGGAGGAGGAGGAGGAGGAGGAGGAGGAGGAGGAGGGGAGGGGGAGGGGGAGGAGGAGGGGGAGGGGTGGGGAGGGGGAGGAGGAGGAGGAGGAGGAGGAGGGGGAGGGGAGGGGGAGGTGGAGGGGGAGGAGGAGGAGGAGGAGGAGGAGGAGGGGGAGGGGGAGGGGGAGGGGAGGGGGAGGGGGAGGGGGAGGAGGAGGAGGAGGAGGAGGAGGAGGAGGAGGAGGAGGAGGAGGAGGAGGAGGAGAAGGAGGAGAGGAGATGGAGGAAAGGGGTTACGAAGGGGAGGAGAAGGTATCTGCATTCATACCTGTATTCTCTGTTTTGGTAAGCGTATAATCCATGTAGGAGGGATGATGATTGTCGCATGAACGCCCAGGGTACAAGGTTCCTCTATCTGCTGCATCATGAAGCACGATACCTTGTTGTGATACTATGGTAGAGGCAAAGAGAAAATAAGAAATGAATTGAAGATACACTGACTCTTCATCTTCCTCAGTCATACAGCTACAGCCAACATAGTGTACATGTATATACTGTGAAAGTGTATTACAATACTGTGGCAGATGGAAAATTACAAATCATTTGATCTGTGTATGACGTAACGTGTGAAGACACAAATCCTCATAACAGTAAAATAAAAAAAAATAAAAAAATGCATACTTTTCAGTAATATCATAATTATTCAAAATAAAAAGAGGGTATCAAAATCAACCCTCCTTTCCCATATGTCAAAGGTTACTCTTGTTACTTAGGAGGAAACAAGCCAAAAAAAATCTTTGAATGAGCAACACTTAATATTTGACAATCCCTAATGATTTCTCACTCAGAAACAGTGAACGGTCCATGTCAATCTTTAACTTGGCAACACTAACACGTTGATAATCCGGCCTGACATATCTAACAACACTTAAAAGTAGATGATCACTACAAATCTCTGACTCGGCAACACCTGAAGGCCCTATAAAAACTCACCGCTACTTTACACCATGAGCAGCTGATGGCGATGATATCCTTCTGTTGGAATAGTTTCTGCTGGAAACTTTTACCGCACTGTTTGCACTTCCCCTCCTGCCTACTCCGATGGACCCAATGGTGCCGAACCACCTGGTTCTCACGATAGTTCCTGATCCCTGCATCCCGAAACGTTGGCTTGCACTTAAAGTTTATCTGCGTGAGGTTGGAAGGAGGTGTTACAGGGAGTTGTTGGTTTGGTTTTACAAGTCAATCTTCTTCTGAATATACGTAGTATTTATGTTTATTTATTCTCCACTTTAGTATAGCTAAATTTTTCTTTTGTTCCTCTCTTGTTATCTCTTTACTTGGCTTCTATATTCTAGTCAAACATTCATGTTTGTATTATGGTCTCTTCCTTTACCCCTCCCACTCTCTCTCTCTCTCTCTCTCTCTCTCTCTTCCTTTACCCCTCCCCCTCCCTCTCTCTCTCTCTCTCTCTCTCTCTCTTCCTTTACCCCTCCCCCTCCCTCTCTCTCTCTCTCTCTCTCTCTCTCTCTCTTCCTTTACCCCTCCCCCTCCCTCTCTCTCTCTCTCTCTCTCTCTCTCTCTCTCTTCCTTTACCCCTCCCCCCTCTCTCTCTCTCACACACTCTCTCTCTCTCTCTCTCTCTCTCTCTCCCTTTACCCCTTTATTTCACCCTTCTCTTTCTCACTCTGTCTATTATTCTCTCTGTGTTTCTGTCTCTCGCTCCCTATGTCTTGCTACGAGTTTAGGTAATCATCTCTCCCTCTCTCACCCTTTCACTCCCCTTCTTTCTGTCTTTATTTCTGTCTATTTTCTATTACGGAAAGGAACTTCTCTTCAGATATCGTATCTTTTGAAATTCCTTTGTTCATGATTTCAAAACAGTCTTACACACTTTGTATACAAATGCGTCATCCCTCATAAAGGGAAGGGATACTATTGTATAAAGGGGAAATAAAGTCCAATGCACACTATACAACCTGACTACAATCCAATATTGGAAAATATCCATTAACACTTAAAGTGGACATTCAAACTTCTATAATCGTCATGATTAAGGACCTGAATAGTCATATGAATAATAAAATGTTAATTCAATGGATTTCAAGCATCGTTGGAGGAGGAAATGTTACATCAGCTAAGAATCACATTGACGTCAGAACAGCAGAGCAATAGTCTACCATTTGAAGCTGGTCTACTTTATATTGTGACTAGGAGTGGTTAATGCACTAAAATCCTGGTTGTTAATATATTCTTATCATTATTTAGAACCGAAATGTGGCGTTTGTTTAGATTTCCAGATCTGATATGAATGCCACTTCTTTGTAAAATCAAATTGCATGAAAAATGTATAGTATGCAGTGGGCTTAAAGAGAAGGTTGAGTTCTGGGAAGAGGAGAAATATAATTTGTAAGCGTTATCATTGTATTATGCAAGTGTGGAAGAACATCAGATAAAAAATGTTCCCTGAAAAGCATGGCTCTTCAAATGCCTTAATATTCTAAATGTGGCACGTAACTTCATCACAATCAGAACCGTTTTTTTTTACGCCAGATGTTCGTGTAGTCCCATATACATCTTTCTGTGTATAGTGCTTGTAACTTTACGAAGACTGAGCCAAATTTCTTATCATTTTGATGATTCCAGAACCTTTCAGTACACACTAGTACTTATATGATAGATGATGAACCTTTTCTGATCGATTCCACAACGTTTCTTTCACAATGCAATCACATGACCAGAACTCAACTTTATCTTTAAAACAATTGAAACACTTACCCTTTCCAGCTGTTGCATACATGCTGTGTGAACTACAATCTTACATGATGAACATTTTCTTCTTGGCCCCGTTTTCTGCAGAAAGAAATCAAGTAAAATGATACACAATCCAACAATCATTCCTAAAATGTTGAGAAAGACTCCTTTCTGTCATTTTCAGCTGTGAAACAAAATGAATGATCCATCTACATGTTAATCCAGAGCAGTTTAGAGTTTTCTTGTTTTGTAAAGTAATCAGTGTTCATTCTTCAAATTGGCTACAAGTGATCTTATTTTCCACTCTATCATTGATTTAAAAAAATTATTTAAAATGTTCATTTCATGAACCATTTTGAAAGAATATTGCAAAATTTATCTGGACAAATTCTAGTTTGTACATGAAAATAGTGAGTTTTTGTTTTACACCACTCTGCCAATTTAGAAACTTTAATAATTAGTTAAAATTGCTCTTATTTGAGAATGACACAATGTCTGCACTGGAAATAGACTCTAAATTTTCTGTGAATTTTGCTCCTTCTTCTCATGTACAATGTGGACTTCCTAGTATTCTAGATCAACAGATAATGCACAGTCCCACTACAAGGAGACACTGTTCTGCTATGGGATAAACAACTCATCAACCACAGTTAAAATCAAAGCAATATTAATTAACTTTGGATCAAGATGAATGAATAGTATAGCACACTGAAAACACGAATAGTGGCTGACAGCAACCAAGTACAGGAGCATATCATCTGCTTAATCTGTACAAATAAATCTTTAGGTAGAGATTCAAGTCATTCAGTTGCATCAGATTTACATCATTTACCATACCTGCCCAGCGCACCAATCAATATACGATTTAGCACTGTAAACTACCTTTATTTAATTTTTTTAATCTGCAACAGCAAATTTTAAATGATTAAAATGTAAATTAATGGCAAATGAAAGAAAAAAGTGGACACAGCAAAGGCCATATGCTTACTAATTAATAACTTATTTATGATACACTACCTATAGATTTTGACTTTTTTTGGTATACCATTTACTTTATACTAAATGAATGAGCCTTCAATGTTCTTTTGAAATCTGGCCAGGGCAACTATATGAACTCGTCCATGTATATACCATGAAACCTGTACACTGTATAAAAAGACCATTAAATGGAGAGCAGAAAATCAGTCTTTGTGAGCAGGTGGTATTTTTGAGCAGGTGGTCTTTATATACAGGTGGTTGCGAGAGCAATTTTTGCTGTATTTGTATACTATTGAGAAAGATGACTGCCTTATATCTTGCCCCATGTATTGACTTTCCTGTTTCCTAATTTGAACATCTACTCAAGATATGAACATCTACTCAAGATATGAACATACTGTATAGACAGGGTGTTTTCTCAGTGTCATATGCATACAGGTTTACTATTGCCATGGGCAGCTGATGTAATAGACCAATTCGGGGTTAGCAAATGTCCAAAATGACCCCATATATCCACAGATCTTCAAAACATGAAGAGGTCCCACTTTGTACATTTTGAAAAAAAATCACTCCAACAGCAATGGAGGTGCTTCATAAATAGCCTTTGCTTCCCATTTTCAAATAATACTTCCACTTGTGTATCATGAAGTGCACTGCTTGTGCATAAATGGATGATTACATAACTTTCATGAGCACGTATTCAGTATTTTGTCTCTGCGTATTTCACAATTTGGTCTGCAATGACCTGTATCTGCTCATGCTCAGACTGCAAGTATGAACTGGTTTATTTGCCTTAATATGAACTTTTCCATGACGATGGATGCAAACATACTGTGTAGATACTACATTGCTGCCCTTAAAGTTAGAATAAATTGCCATTTATCTTTTTTTATGAAGTGATTGTGAGAACATGATTCACTCTTGAATAGATAAAGTTTATATCTTCCAGGAACTTTAATTATCCATATGAAGAGTCATAGAGATTGGTCTACATGGTTCTGAGAAGATAAAAACTTATCTATCAAGATTAAATTAAGTAATAATCTCCAAGTTTGGAAGGGCTTAGTGATTCTAATAAGCGCTATATAAAAACTGAGTATTTTTATTATTATTAGTGTCACAATCCATAAATAGAGGTAAGAAGAAAAACAAATTGTTATAAATCTTCTTTTTACCCCTTGCTGCAAGGAGCACATCACCATCCCCCATGTGAACACTTATCGTTTAGTCATACATTTGAACTTTTGATGTAACATTTCCATATAAACTGACTTATAAACACGGCACTCAAAAGTATATAGTAACAGAATCATCATCAGATAATTCAGCAAATGCAAGCCTTCAGAAAACTTGGCATGATGCCAAGAGAGCAGAAATACAAATGCAAGCATTGATCAATCATTTTTGTAATACCAATCATGTGATTCAAGATAAAAACAGAAAAAAGAACTGTGTAAATGAAATAAAATAAACCTCTTTTTTTAAGCATGCATTCCAGTGTCTTGTTAAGTGCTAAGAAGTGTGTAGGGAAGAATGGGGGATGGAAATCATAGGATGGGGTGGAGGGGTGGAGGGAACGGAGGAATGGATTGAATGAACTTAAAGATAAACCTGAGTTCTGGTAAATATAGCGATACATTTTCACAGAATCCAACAAAACTTACACTGAATGTTCAAGATTGCAAGTAACTGACATTTGCCAAACATTTTTGTTAGAAAATGTATAGAAAGATCTAAGGAAATCTGGGTTAGTAGGACGGACACCATGTGCTTAACACAGGTCACTATGTGCAAATGGGAGTAGTGGTTTTTATCAAAAAGATGATGCCCATTAATTTAGTGTGCGTTTTTTAATTTTATTTCACTGGTTCAAACAACCAATCTACTGCAGGATAAACAATCCAGAATAAATCATAGCGATATTCTCTCAAAATACTTTCCATACCAGAGCTCAAGATTAGCTTGAACATAAGACATGCAATAGAAGATACGAACAGGCACTGCATGTGGCATTAGAACAGTAACAAAGGAGAGGGGAGGGGGTCGGACCAAATATGCAAACAGATTGACTACCTATCCCACCCCCTCAGCGAAAAGGAAAGGTTCTCAGATTTTTACCCATTTGTGGATGCAGCCCAAAAGTTAACTTATCGACAGAAGTTAGTACTAACTTAAAAATGAAAACACTTTTTACCGATTGTATGTAAAGAAATAGCAAATACCTTACTCTTAATACATTTAATCTGAAGTGCTTTTGGCATGAAATAAATGAACTATATCCTATCCCCATCAAATTAAAGAGTCTGCCAGGCTATTTTGTGTGATGATGAATTTATCATGGTAGCACAAATATTGCTAGAGTTATCGCCAATTTTATGATTTTCGTCAAGTAAACATTTTCTGTGGAATTGCCCATAAGGAATAAAATGTGAATGCATAAAGATTGCATATGAAATGCATAAGGAATGAAAAAGGATTAAGAATGCATGGGAAATGCATAAGGAACACTTAATGAATGCAAGGTGAATGCATAAGCAATCTACAAGGAATGTATAAGAATTGCATAAGGAATTCACAGGGATTGCATATAAAGCAATGCACGAGTGATAATTAGAAAGGAAAGCTACAGGAAATGCATACAGAATGATTAAAGGATGTATAAGGAATGTATAAGGAATGCATAAGGAATGTTTAAGGAATGTATAATGAATGTTTAAGGAATGTATAATGAATGTGTAAGGAATGTATAAGGAATATATAAGGAAATCAATAGGGATAAAGGGAAACAAGCAGGAATTTCTTGCAGGTGGATGTGATATAGATGCTTATAACAAGCTCATGATTTGGATGTTTGGAATACCATAGGAACGCAAATGGCTGTCTATAGAAGCATTGGAGGCATGTGTGTGGGTGACTATGTGTGATAGGTACAAAGGATTTACTGTAACAGATTACATTATCTTCTTCCATGCCCACTCTCCTTCTCCTCCCATCCCCAGCCTCTCCCAATCTCTCTCTCTCTCTCTCTCTCTCTCTCTATCCCTCCCTCTTAATGTCCCTCTTATTTTACAAATATTTGTTATCCTCATCCCTCTCTCAATCACAATTTCTTGGAGAGTGATTACTACTCCTGTCTCCTTTTCCTCAAATAATTTTTTTGTATTTCTCTTCCCTATCAAGATATTCATTTTCCCTTTCGTTCTCTCTTCTTTGCTTTAAAGTTTTTAAATGACTTGCACTGTAGCAATGTAATTACATAGTTGTATTCTAAATTCTTTTGCTCTTTGTTTATTCAATTTTCTTATCACTTTGTCTCATGGGATTTTAAATCCTTCTATACATTTTTGTTTATATGAATAGAATGGGCGAAAAATCCCTATTAGGCCTACTTATCTGAACTTAGGCATAGCAATTATGACACAACATTCTTTAGGAAGCAAAAGAACTTGTGTGTACCCATTATACCCCTCTGACATCATCCCTATAACTATTATACCACTGTTACACATTCAACACAGATGAAATATTGTATCAAGCAAAAAATGCAGTGCCCTTAAAGTCATCAATTTTGGCTACATCTTTGTTTTTTATACAGCAAAAGTGACTTTACTCTACAAAAGTAACAACAAATTAGAATTAAGACTGCATACAGGTGTATTTCTTTGTTTTTAGCTATTTCTGTAGCACATTATACATTAAAGTTCATGTACAGTTTTGGTAGAAAAAGGAAAATGGAAAGAAACATGTAAAGTGTCATCTCATGTTGGTCTCTGTGTATCAAAATATATATGTACAAGATCATTTGGTATTCTATCAATGGTTTTCTTGTATGTGTGTAGTGCAGATTGCCATTGTCAGAACTTACTTCACAGGATGGTATCTACATTATTTTCTACCTCTTATTTGATTAAAATTTCACTTGACAGTAGCTTAGTTATTTCCAGTTTCTTTCTACCGGTATTTATTATCTTAAATCAAAGAAATCCAACAATTTGTTATTGTTGAGGGCTTTACCAAAACTGTACAAGATCTTTAATGCTAAATTGGTACTCTATTTCTTGTCTACACATAAATTTTATTTTTAGGAGGTAGCAATGGTTTTGACAGTACACTAATAATACAGTGAAACTAAAGGGTTAGTGCAAAATTATTACTATGGTTTAATAAGTGGTTGGACTGGCCTAGGGGAAATGGGGGTTGGAGAATGAAAGGGTGGGGGTGGATGGTTGAAGGGGGGGTGGGGCAGTTACGGGATGGTGGTTAGGAGGGGTTAAGGGGTGGGAGAGGGGGTTAGGAGGGGAGAGGAGGGGAGGGGTGGGAGCACTGGAACAGCATACTTACCCAATATTGACTTACCAGGCAATCCTGTTCCCCGACGTAACAGAAATCACCCGAGGCATTCGTCTCACCCCATACATGGTCTCCACTGATAGCATTCTCCTGGTGAGTTAAAGTTATTAAGAAATATATTACTGATAATAATGATCATGATACAATACTACTTCTAGTTTGAGGATTATTGATACCACTCGCACCCTGGGCTTATAATTACTACTGGTGCTTCTGCTGCTGCTACATAATACTACTACTTCAGTTGCCACTACTACTACTACTGCTACTATTACTGCTACCACCACTGCTTCTATAACTAAAAAAATACTACTACTGTGACTACTACCACTGTGACTACTACTACTACTACTACTACTACTACTACTAGTTCATTCTTACATAGCGCTTTTCAGGATATTATTACCCCGGTTATCGGATTCAGGCTTATACCCGCACACAATGTATGCACATTCTCCACTCCTTGGGGAGCTTTATAGCCAGGCGTCATTTTTACAAGCGCACACCTGCTCATCTAACCACAGTAACTTTCACATTCTACCGGGTACCCATTTAACACCTGGGTGGAGAGTGGCATTTGAGATCAATGTCTTACCAAAGGACATTAGTGCTGCGACGGGACTTGAACTGCTCGACCGCAACAACTCTAATACTAATACTACTTCTACTACTACTGCTTACACTACTACTACTACTACTTCTACTACTACTTCTACTAATACTACTACTACTACTTCTACTTACTACTGCTGCTGCTACTGCTGCTGCTACTGCTGATACTACTTCTAATACTACTACTGCTTACACTACTACTACTACTACTACTACTACTACTACTACTACTGCTACTACTACTACTACTGTGACTAATACTACTACTACCACTACTACTACTTGTACTACTACTACTACTACTACTACTACAACTACTACTATTACTACTACTACTACCTCTACCACCACTACCTCTACTTCTACTACCACTACTTTCACTACCACTACCACTACCCCTACCACTACCACTACCACTACCACTAGTAACTGATGATAAGTTCATATACTCACACTCCAGTCCACAGTTGTTCTGATTTCCTTCTCCGCCATAGAATGTGCCGGAAGGTGATGGGTGGGGAATCCATGGATTTGGTTAGCGTAGGCATTAGATTTAGATATTGCTTTCCTGCAGATTACAAAGAGGAAACAAAGGGAAAGGAAAAAATGACTTGTAAATTTGTTCTGTATACTCAAGAGTATCAATCAATTAAGTATATAATCTTGCATCACACATTATTCTTTAATATAGAACTTACCTAAAGGCAGAGGTTTTTCAAAACATGTCTGAAAAGCAAAATCCTGTTTGTATCGCATGGAGGTTTAAACACATAATCAGAATAAGAACCTTTCACGTAATGTTCTTTACCACTTTGATGACACTTATATTAGCAAACTGTCATTCAGATTGGCAACATTATACTTTTGAAGATATTGATATCATATATCACCACTGGTTTTGCATCCCAGACATCACTACATTTTGGTACGATACCTGACCGTGTATAAATGTACGAGTATAAATAAGCTTGTTAGTATTTTTCATTTCAATAAACTTAAGTCAAACGGTGTGCAGATAGCAATATACCATAGCATTGATTATGTAATCAACCATTCACGAAATCTGATAATTCTGCTTCAAAAAAGCAAAACAACCAGAGAAATGAATGGGCGGAAGTTTTAATTTACAAATGGAATCATACTGTATACGTGACAATATCACATTAAACCTGTATAACTGTATTATTGTTATTGTTACAGCTTTTAGTTTGTCATTTCTATTTTAATCTCACATAAAAATAAAAAAATCATCTACCGGTAGTCAGAATCGGTTAACATAGGATGAATGCCTTTCTGACTCCAAAGCTAAAAAGAAGATCACTAGGTTACAAGTAACCTTCTTGCTCTGAAATATTACTGATCTCACTATTAAAGTAGGCAGAGGGCCAATGCTCTCAAAGTACTGATAATGTACTTTGTAATACACTTTAACAAATAGCAAAGACACAACAAAACATTTTAAACGATGCATTCAGTCTGTGTTCAGTGTTGTCTGTGTGGAAGAAAGTGACAATAAAAATTAATACAAATAATGATCATTAGAAAGCCTGAAGCAAACATCCCCAGACCAACTAAAAATGGGAAAGGAAAATAGTTTTATGATACAAATGTACTCAGATCATTGAAAACTGAGCCCAAAACCTACTTAAAACTGTCTGGCCTGTTGGGAAAACTTCTCAGAGCCGTATCCATTTCGGAATCGCTGTCCGCTTCTCGATGTCGTACCATCGCCGCGAATTGCCCAATCCCGGAGCTCTGGAGCGCCGCAGCCCCCATCGATTGGGACCGAGGTTTCAGTTTATACTTCGTGAACATGCCATGCCTCGTGGCCTTCAGGGCATGGCTTTCGTAGATGTCCGATTCCGTTGTTGATATGTCGCTGCGGCTCGTCTGCATCTTGAAGATGCTGTGACGATGAGCCTTCGTTCCACCAAGGGCTTCCATTCTGGTAATCTTCGGCGATCCTCGCGGGACGATACAATCAAAAGTCTGCATTATTCGGGACGACGTGTTTTTTCACTGATCCACTTCGAAATCGTTTTCAAACGACGATTTCAATTACGTTCCTGAACGTATATTGTACCAGTGGCGATTACCAACATGTTGTTACCTCTAGTAGAGTATATGTACTTCTAATACAGTGATCAGTTTCCGGTTATGTATGAATTTAATCATGTAAATCGTATATTACTGTACAGTAGTATATTGCATGATATATTTCACACACATAAGTTGATCATCTGAAAAACGATGTAGACATGGAAAGTTGCATATCGTTCCAAAGCGAAATTCATATTATTAAAATCTGTTTCATTCATCTATAACAACACAAGAAGTTCTGGATGACTTGCTTTTTGGACAAGTGGCCATTGTACTGTCCCGCCTACTTACATTCATGTAAGATACCTTGGGTAAACACGCACACAGTCTACAATCGCAGATGAACCCAGGTTTTCATGGGAATGATACTGTTAGCTTCAAAACGTCACACAGTTAATGCTGTTTCTGAGTCATCTTGAAAGTCTTGAATCATGTAACACATTCCACTCTGTAAAAGGAACCAAAAATTTCATGAATTCCCGGAAGAAAATCACATCATCTTACATCAATTTGAATCACAAAATTTAATTTCTTTACAATAATTTACGCAAGAAAGATTTCGGAAAGAAGATAGCTCAATATCAAGTCATTTTATTATTCTAATGCTTTTTACAATTTTTGCACAATACTTTTTTACTTTATGTTATCACATCTTTTAATTTTTTTGTCTTTCATCCCATTTAAAAAATCCTCAAATGCATGTAATTTGTATGCAAAATTGAATGTCCTAGTATTAGTAGTTTGTGTTCCTTCTATGTATATATGACATGAATGGTGAAGAAATATTGGTCATTTTTGTGATTCAAATTGAAAAGTAACACAATCACACACCCACGCAACCTCACCCACACTCCAGACACACCTACGCCTGCAAACATACATGGGATCATTAACAAAATAAACATATAAATGTACACATGCTTTGAGTATTGTTATCTCCATTTCATAACTAAATAGACCTGTATCATATATATCTGAATGTTTACATTGTAACTCACTTAATATACACCAGTAGACCACTTAATAATAGTAAACAACTTTTGGTTTGCAGCTCTTTTTGATTTGCTACAGTAACCATGATTTTTTTAAAATTTGGTTAAACCAGTGATTTTTAACCTCTCAATGTGTGGCCAATTTAAGGATTTTAATGCTTATTTTAGTTTCTAAAACTCCTGGCATCAAACACAATGTAGGCATGTATGCAACAAAAATGTTTGTATCTCAGAAGCGGCTGATACAGTATGTACCCCTGAGAGCCAGTATATCAATTTTTGTGGTATTTTCAAATCTACTATAGATCTTAACAAAACAGAAATAAGTTGTCAGTAGATGCAGAATAGTATACATGCACACAACACGATATGTGTAAGAATAAAATAGACCTGCAGCGTTTCATGTTAAAAAAGACAAGTTCGGCGGTATTTTAAAATCTACTATAGATCTTAAAAATTAGAGAAGAAAATATAGTTGTCAGTAGTTGCAGAATAGTATACATGTAAACGACACGATGTGTGTAAGAATAAAAATAGACTTGCGATGGTTGACGTTACAAAGACAAGTGATGAAGAAATACAGACCCAACCGTAGTAGATACATTATATACACATTTTTGGCTTTAAGCCTGTGTTAAGTAATACATGTACATTATATGAAAATGGATACCAACAGCATACAGGAATACATGTGATGCACCATAGCAAGCATATATGCACGTCTGTACATGCATTTGTTTAATACACAAGTTTGTATTAAACTCAAATTCAATAAAGGTTGATAAGAAAGAAATAGGCATAACAATGCCTCATATCATATGGGCAAAAATGCTAAAGTCAGAAATTAATGCATAGGATTTGTACATGTACAGGTATAAGCCTATATCAGATATATTCTCAAATTTTAAATGAAAGAGATGATTGTGCAGTGCATTATTGCCAATTGAATGAACCTGTATTGTCTGAATATTCAAAATGCAACTTGTTCCATCATCAGGGAAATGGATGTGCATGAGGCATATAAATTAAATTAATAAGAAATTTGTAATCCATTACCTTATTATATGTACATTTTCACCACTAATCATATGGCAATCCATTAATTTGAGCACCTTAAGGTCACTGCATCTCAAATCCTTCCATTTTTATGTTGCATCGGTTAAAAAAGCTAGATCTTAAAATCAGAATTGAGTCCTTTAGGCAAGCAATAGAGCAACAATCGGCAAGACAAAGAAAATCTGGTTTAAGAGTTGAAATCACAAAGCATCGATCTGATGAGTTCCACATGTGATTCTCAAGATTCATAAACACATGTCCGTTCATACTGTATAATGTGTACTGCTAGTTGCATGTACGAAGCATGCATGCGTGTGTGTGAGTGTGTGTGTGTGTGCACGTACAATGGGTTGCCCAATCTCATTACACGCACCCATGTACACACAGACATGCATTGATTACATGTGCAGGCTATATAGTCGCACAGTAAATGCCGATCGTACTCCCGAAGATGAAGACGGGGGCGACCGACTGTTGATGGTAGCTCAACACCACTTGCTGGGTGCTTATTATAATGCCGATGCTATTTTTATCACAACAGGCTCCCTCGTCTGATGGTTTGTGAGCAGTTTCATGCTTTGGTAGTGATGATGAACTGTGGTGAATAGGTGCAAACCCTAACTGCATACACACATACACTTACTAAAAGACTTCTCCATTTGTTTCTACACAATGTAATACCGGCAGACATATTAATCCTATGTAAGCAAAATATGCATGTAAATCTACATCTATTTAACTATTACAAGTGACAGCTGAGGCTTACATGTTCTATTTTTTTCTCATGCAATTGTACATTAGTGGAAATTTGAGCTGTTATTCTTTTCTGAAAGTGTATGTGTCTTTTAAACTTAGAATAATTATATACTTCTATGTGGGGTTTTTCCAGGATAACTTATGGAAGTGATGGTTTGTTTTTACGATTTGTTATAATAATAATCATAATAATAGATTGTCACTTTCATAGGTTATCCTGTGAGGAACACATACCTTTTCATTAGTTTTAACTTCTTATGCTTTAAATGTATTGTATTTGAGGAAGAATATCTATCATTTTATGCATTCCCAGACAAAATGTTAGCATCCAATCTGTTTTTTCATGTAATCCCAAAAAACTTTTAAGCATGAAAATAGGTGAAATGCCACTGGCCTTTTCATATATTCTCATTTTCCATATGGTACAAAATACCTTTAAAATGTTTATTACATTACTAATCACTTAAATGTGTCAAACAGTATTTGAGGACTCAATTTCTGATGAAATGAGGTTGATTCATGTTGTGGATTGGTTACATGATTTATACAAATGTATGGAATAGCAAGCACACACATGACTTTGATCATCTGCGAAAAGGGATCTCCTTATTTGCCATAGTCTCTGTAACTTTCATTACTAATTCTTTGATTTTATATACCATATATACATTTTTTCTTTATTAATGGTCATAGTTTTGAGCATGCTCTTAAATAAAATGGTACAAATATAGATAACATTCCTTGCTTAAATTACACATCCATAGCATATCTCTCTCTCCCATCCTTTCTTTATCTCTCTCTCTCTTTCTCTCTCTCTCTCTCAATATAGATAAAATTCTTTCCTTAAAACAATGAACCTTAATACTTAGCATGACCCTATCGTACATTTATGATTAATACCTTATACTTAGCAAGATCTTATCACACATTATGATCAATACCTTATACTTAGCAAGATCTTATCACACTTTAATGATCAATACCTTATACTTAGCAAGATCTTATCACACTTTAATGATCAATACCTTTCAATCGATATGTTTTCACAACTCTCCAATGAGAATCATTAGTTAGTATAATCAGTTCATATCTCCTACGGACAGGATAACTGTCTTGGCATGTCAGAGGTCATGACAGGTCACGTTTAATTGCTGACAATACCATTTACACAAAACGTAGATGCTTATCTGAACACTGCAATTATTATGAATCTATCAAGTAAAGTTATAGGAAAATAGCACAAAATCAGGATCCCTTTTGATCAATAATGTTTTCACATCTACCCCTGACATTCAAATGTAACATGATATTACATGATTTCACACAGGAAGGAACATTGTCACATCTGTCTGTTTGTCTCCTTCTTCTTCTTTTTCTCACTAGAACTATTTATCTATGCCTTTATGTCTTTTCCTTGTCCTTTGTGTCTATCTCTTTATATTCCTCATATCCCCCCCCCCCACTCTATCTTTCTGTGTCTCCCCTCATCCCCACCGCTTCTTCTCTCCCTCTCTTTTTCCCTTCTTCCTCTCTCCAACCATCTTTCCTTCTCTTTCTCTCTCTCTCCCCTCCTTCTCACTTCACTTTATCTCACTATCCTCTCTCTCTATTCCCTTCTCTTTCCTTCTCTCACTTTCACCCCCTCTCTCTCTCTCTCTCTTCCTCTATCTCTCTCTTTCTCTCTCATTCTTTCTCCCTCTATGTCACACATGTCACTTGTTCTGTTATCAAAATGTTGAAGAATAGGGCAATCAATTGGTACATTCTCTGCAGCTCTCTCTATCCATCACAAGCAATATTTACTTATAATTACCTCTTCAAATCCATATAACTTGTATAAGCAAAAAATTAAGGACCTACAAGTTTGTGTTCCTTCTATGCATATGATATGAATGGTAAAGAAATTGTGATCAATATTGTGATTCAAATTAAAATGGCAATCACACACCCACACACCAGGCACACTCACCTCTGTCAAAACGAATGAAGATTAGGGCAAGCACGGTATAGTCTCCCTAGGCCTGTCTTCACTAGCTCGAGATTGCCAAATATCCCGCTATTTGAACTATCCCGATCGCAAACTATCCAGCTAATTTGCGTCTTCATCAGACCGAAGTTACAATTAGCAAGATATTTGGTCGGGATTGTCATCCCAAGATATCTTGGGATAGTTTGCAAAATATCCCACTAATTGGCAAAATATCCAGCTATTTGCTCAATGTATCTTCACCAGACCGAAGACTCGCACTATGCGCAAATGCTGAGCAAAATATCTCGAGCTTATTTCTCAAGGTCGAGTTTCAAGTTTCGAGGTCGGATCTCGAGCTGATGAAGACGCGATTTGTAACTTCTGGATTATATCCTAAATCAGAAATAGCTGGCTATTTGGTAATCTCGAGATGATGAAGACGCGTCAAATCTCCCCGCAGCCCACTAGATCTATCACAAGCAATATTTACCTGTAATTACCTCTCAGGCCTAAAATCAATATTTGCCAACACTTCGATACTGATTTGGGATGCACAGAATTCAAGCTAAATCCATTTCCTAACATTTTCCACCCGATTAGCAAAATTTCATCGAGTAGAGGTGCAACAGGGTAGAAAAAGAAAAACGCCCTTAATTATACATGATTTAGATTGACATCATATTATGACTTGCTTTCAGAATTTTTGGCATCTCCTTTAGTATCTCCTTTAATGTGATATAAGCTAAACTATCATTCTGAAGTGAGTGCCTTTTATCATAACTCTAAGAACACTATATTCACTCATCGAAATACAAGTTGAAAGAAATCCTGAAGCCTACTTCACTTCAACTGTATCAAATACACATAGAAAAAAGAAGGGGAAAAGAGACAAAAAAACATCTGTCAACAAGATATGCCTTTTTTCCAGAGATCAAAGATGAAATACCATTTTTTTTTAATTTTCAAACAGATAATGGCAGATGATCATTACACAGCTTGCACCAGAAGGTGTCATTCAATTTCTTTGGAACAAAGAGATTTGCAAGTTTGTCAATGCAGCGGTTTCAATGTGCATTTAAATTCAGGTAAACTTTGAAAACATAGACATGACGTGGTATAGTGGTTCATACACTTGACTCTCACTACAAGGGTCGAGGGTTCAAATCCCCACCCAGCAAAAACATCCTATGGTGAGACATTAATCCAAATATACCACTCTCCACCCAGGTTTGATTAGGTACCTGGCTATTGCTGGGGTAATAATTACAGTGCCTAAGAAAAACAGCATTGAAGCTAATGAGGCTTCCCTGTGTAAACAAATTATTGTTATTATTAGTATGATAGATACGTCATACAAGCACATTGTACCTTTACTTTTAG